GGTATACGCGGTTGCGCTACAGCAGAAGCCAGTGGAAGCTGCTAAGCCTGTACAACCTGCTACACCCGCCAAACCTGCTGCCACACAAGGTCAAGCACCGACATCGACACCGCAGCAACAGCCAGCAGCACCCTCCACAACCAACACACCCCAGGCAAACGGCGCCAATAACGCGCCTCCGGCTCAAGCGTCCCAACCCGCACCTTTCCAACAATCCAACCCCCAGCCCAATCCCTTCGCTCAAGCTGCCCCTGCTGGCCACGGCACGAACGCAGACCCATTCCCACGTAGCCAAAGCCAGATGGGTCGCGGACTCCCACAGCCAGGTTTTACAGTCCAAGGTCAAGCACAGCAGCAGCAGCAGCAACAGCAGTCGGGACGCGGCCGCGGCGACGGTGTAGGAACGGGCCCTGCTGCCATTAGGGGAGCTCTTGCATCAAACATCCCACGCGGTGGTGCTGGAAGCGGCATCCCCATGCCTGGTAGTAGGGGACGAGGCCAGAACCAGCAACAACCTCAGACCCAAACTCAGAATAATCAGCAACAGAATCAAGGTCCTAATGCTGGAGCAGGAGCTGGTGCTTCGCAAATTGGTCGTGGCAACGGTCGAGGTACGGGTCGTGGCCGTGGTCAATCAAATCAGAATCAAGGATCGCCGGCAAGAGGTGGCTTGAATCCTGGTGCGCAGGGCTTCCAGCCTGGTCAAAGCCAAGGCGGTCAGGGACAGGCTGGACGCGGACAGAAGCGTGGCGCGGAAGATGATATTGGTGAAGGTGCGACGAGAGGTGGGAAGAGGGCACGAGGTGGACGTGGTGGCGGCGGCGGCGGTGCTGGACAGCAGCAGCAGCAAGGTGCTGCTGAATAAGGAAAAATGATGCGGGGATACAGTATGCTTTTCATTTGTTTTCTGTTTTTCATGCTTACGGTATTCTTTTAAAGGAACGAGATGTATTAAAATGAGATTTAGCGGGACGAGCTGTGCCATTGGTAATGAGCGGGGTGGGCTCTCGATTAGATGAAATCTCTCGTCCGAGAGAGCTTGTGTCTGTACTATAGCATTTACATGGTGTTTTTTATGGAGATTTGTTGCGACATAAATTTTGACCTGAGGTCCTTTGATATGCGTGCTCGGTGGCTAAAAATGTGTTGACTGTGCTGGTTCATCAGAGTCATGAGTCGGGTATGCTCTGAGCAGTGGAGGCAAAGCCATGCCGTGGACGACGCTTGTTTGTGATGGACGTCGGGGAGACGTCTTGCGTTTGTATATTGGGGTTTATGCAATCGCATTATTCTTTTACGGGAAACAAACACGACGATCGTGCTCACCAAAAGAGCAGAGTACGAATTACAAATATCGAATCACATTTTAATAACCTCGAGCTATCGCGACAAAAAGCTCCTATCCTTTCCGAATCTTGCAAGCCGATGTCGTAGATGATGGTTGCCGCGTGGAATTCAGACCGTGCGATATGCATCATCGTCTCATTCTCGTATCGATTGTGTTGATGGCTTGCTTACAAGTCGTACGACTAGTCCTTTGTTCCAATCCGTTCGCGATATGCGACGAGAGACAGAAGGAGACAAAACTCAGGATGTACGGAACGTCGATGCATCTCTGAGACATCCTTCTAGGAAGGATGTTGATACGCCGGCAGGAGAGGCCGAAAGCGCTGTTCTAGACCCATTGGGGAGGGAAAAAGGAGTAGTTGTCATCGTTCGAACAACATTCTGGCAAAGCGAAGTCGTCATGGTGAGATATGTTGTTTGTCTGTAGGGCTGAGCTTTGGACCGCTACGAGTGCATCACGATGATGTTGCTGTTGTTGTCATCAATCCGTACCATAGAGCGTATCAGTATCTCACTCCTGACTAGTTGCTTTTCAAGCAAACATTTGTTGGTGAACTGTTGTCGGAAACTCGTATCCTGCATGTCATGCAGTAGAATACAACTTGTACGATTACTTCATCATTCACGTTTATTGCTTTCGTTGTCAGTATGCCTCCAGAGACGAAACGACATGGACGTCTGCCTCGTGGAGCTTCGGTCCGTTGATGAGACACTACTGCCGTCGGTTTTGGCATTCGTGTATAATAGATTGTATGACTTGCATCCTCATTTCGTTCTGCGTCCTCGCCAGAGTAGAACCAGTGTCACAATCGGTCTTCTTGTAGCTGCTATACAACTAAATGACTGGTCACTGATAGCCCCTGGTTTTGGCGTGCGCGTCGAACTAATGATGAGGTGAGACAAGGTATTGCGGAGGTTTGTTGCATCCCTGTGTTAATTCAGTGAACATGACCTGGTTCGTTAGATGGTCCAAGAACAAGCTACGAATGTCTGAATAGGAAGTAGTCATTTCAAGTCATGATGAGGAGAAGCACTATCTCAATTTCTAGAAGATCTGTTATCGAGAAGCGCACATCGAGACGTGGCCATAGATAATGTCATTCATACAGCAAAGAGTATCAGGCTTCCCCTTTCGCAAGAGCGCTGCCTGACTGTACTTATCAGCCATAGCGGAGAGATATGCCGTGTGATAAGGATGGAAGGGCATTACGAGTCGGGGTAAGTCGCAACGCATGCGCTGGAAGCTACACTCACCAATCGGACATGACGTGCATATCAGAAAAATTATGAAGTTTTTCGGGTAGCGCATGTGGAGCGAAACGAGTGGCGCCTCCACGCACTGCGAGATGAGAGTCCGTCGCCCGTGGAATTGGTAACGGGTCGTCGCGTTATCACCAACCGGGCCGTCGCTCTTCGGGCGACGAACCGCCGGATAGGTTATCAGGAGTCATTCGTGAGGTCGGGAAAGGGCTATTGCCAAGAGCCCGACACTCGGATCACACGCAGGCTGATTATCCTCGGAGCGGATAGCGATTGGCTCATGATCTGCTTGTTGGAGGCCTCGTGACGATGTCTTGACATTGCATTGACAAACTGGAAGGACCGCCAGGAGGCGAAGTCGTGCGTCGACGAGCTGGCTAGCGTATGTGGAGATGAAGCTGACGCAGCGCTGCAAGAGTGTTTTATCAGTCATACCAGTCGAGCACGAAGGGTTGGTCGTTGCGCAAGTGGGGAGGATTGTTATCGAGATCATATGGACTTTATGCCCGGTCATGGCTAAACGATCCAGAGGGGAGGTTTGGTGGCGTTCAATTGACAGATTGATTGCACGTTGTGTAAGTCCAGCTGTGTAGGAGGGTAGGGACAGACTGATATCGATTGAGTTGTAGTGTGTGGTAAGCTATTATTTGTGGGACCTTGGACCCTTGAACGAAGTAGTGCACTACAGATGTGAACATGCCAACAGAATGTGGGTAGACAAAGGAATTGGATACGAAATGGACATTTGGCAGTATGCTGGCAGTAGATACTATCGCCCAAGGTTGTAATCATACAGGAAGGCGGCGCGATCTAGCCCTTGAGTCGATTGACAAGCTCATCGCGTGGAGGTAGGTGCATCTGGGGTGTGGACACGATGGATATGCTCCGACGCTACCCTTGCCCCTGCATATCTCTTACCGAGCATCGCATGTACCACGAGACATCTTCGAATTTGGCCGTGACTGATACGACGTGTAAAGCATCTCTTGGCAGTCAGTGCCAGCTCATCGCTGCTTGAGTAACTTGAGAGGGATTTTGCCGGCTGGACCACAGAAGAGGCGAGGAAGCTTTTCGTATTCACGTGGTATCTTGTGAATCCTACGAAAAAGTTAAAAAGTTAGTGTTAGCAAATCCTCGGAGAGCCGCATGTATGCAGGTGTCGTTGGAAGCTGCAGCGCGCTATCAGTAGACTGTGGCTGCAATAGTCTTGATTCGCCGACGCAACAGGATATCTCTCGTTCCGGCTAGCTCGACGCAGGAGACGAATGACGGTGGAATCTGCAAAACATGCGGATCCTCTGTAATGCTTCGGTCGCCGTATGATCCGGTCGCCAAATTGTACACCGGTGGAGCCTGGAGGTCTTCAGTGTTCGTATACCAGGCAACCACGCATATATGAGCGATGTTCCGAGCTCTTGACCGAGGGGATGGCGGCTACAATGACGGTGGCGGTGATTCTTGATAACGTGTCATGCAGTCGGACAAGTGGCTACTGTAAATCATGGCCGAATATTGTCGAGATGCGTGCGCGGAGACGGGAGGAGTCGAGCAAGACGAGCGACTAGACCCCTACGCTAAGGTATGGTCTGCCAAGCCTGTTTTTTCCCAAACTTCCACGAGCTTCCTCACGCGCTCACAGTCCGAAACCATTAGTATGCCCGGCTCCTACTTGGCACCGATTGGATCGACTGTGCTGCATACAAGCCCTATGTCTCTGTCAATATCTCAACCATGGTCGCGACTCCCCGGAGCGGACCACTCACAGTGACAATGCATACGCTAGCGACAGGCATACATGCTGTACTCTCTTCTGCACATGCAAGTGCGAAGAAATCGGTAGGATGCGAGGAAATTGTCAACATATCCCACAAGCAGAGCAGAGTAGTATACTCCCGGGTGAGATGGAAGATGACCGGGCGTTATTAAATCATGGCTACGTACTCAAGTAATATGTCGACGCAGAACAGATCGCGTGCTCGATAAGACGTAATTGTTGGTCTTGGGAAGATGGAGCTGCGGTTGGTCGGGCCTTCTGATGCCAGGGCGGTGTGGTGTGTTCAAGCTTATTCATGGATGAAGGTGTGATTTCGCCATCGCACGTGCGCTAGACTAGGCGTGATTGGAGCGTGGATTGCGTGACCGCTGCCCGTGGTAGTTACCACCCAACTTATTGTAGAATGCGTCACCTAGGGTTACACTTTCCCCACATACACCGTGCGGCCGAGACGACGTCCGGGGCGTCGCCTTCCTTATCTATAAAGGAATCCGTGCCCTTACTCCAACAAGAGTTTGCACACCACAAAGCTTCCTACCTTCACCTATTCTCCAGGTACCTGCTCGAAGCAATCTGTCCAAGATACAATATTACATATTCCATCCATTGCCACCACAATATGGCACCAAGTCTCTTGCTAGACCCAGAGTCGCCGCCCTCATCTCATGTCCACGCGGTCAAGCAACCCTTCCACCACGACGGGAGTGTCTCGCTCAAGGACGCCCAGGCTTCTGTCGGCGACGACTTTTCTTTTTCTTCCACAGCCATGAACGGTAATGGTAACGGCAGTGTCAACAGCAATAATGGCTTTTCATCTGGCAATGGTTTCTCAGATGCTCTTCAAGACGGACGCGATTTCGTTACTGCACAAACTCTTCGTCAGCAATCTGAAAGCTATGCAACTCAGACTCGCACCATGGGGTACGGAAAGCGTCCCAACATCTTGTACATTATGGCCGATCAGATGGCTGCACCCATGCTAAAGTTCAATGACCCAGAGTCAGTTATCAAGACACCTCATCTTGATGAGCTTGCCAGGACCGGCGTCAACTTTGCGAGCGCTTATTGCAACTCACCCTTGTGCGCACCGTCTAGGTTCACCATGTGCAGTGGCCAGCTGCCGTCCAAAATTGGCGGCTATGATAACGCTTCCATCCTAAGTCCAGAGATTCCCACCTACGCCCACTACCTCCGCCGAGAAGGCTACGAGACTGCGCTCGCAGGAAAGATGCACTTTATTGGCCCTGATCAGCTCCACGGATTTGAGCACCGACTCACCTCCGACATCTATCCCGGTGACCTCGGATGGTCTGTCAACTGGGACAAGCCAGAGGAACGCCAGGAATGGTACCACAATATGTCTTCAGTTATGCAAGCCGGACCTTGTGTGCGATCCAACCAGCTCGACTATGATGAGGATGTCATGCACAAGGTAGGAAATTTCGCACTCAAGTAGACGAAATCTTGCTCACACATACCTCCAGGCCCAACAGTACCTTTACGATTACGTTCGATCAGACCCTGAGACTCGGCGACCTTTCGCTTTGACCATCTCTCTGACCCACCCACACGACCCTTATACCATGATTCAGGAGTACTGGGATCGATATGAAGGCGTCGATATCCCTTTGCCCAAGGTTGAGATCGCACAAGAGAACCAGGACTCTCACTCCAAGCGTCTGCTCCAGACCATCGATCTGTGGGACAATCCTGTCCCGGATGAGGCGAAAATCCGCGCTCGCCGTGCCTACTTCGCCGCGTGCAGCTTTGTCGACGACCAGGTTGGCAAGCTTGTCAGGCTCCTCAAGAACTGCCAGCTAGACAAGGACACCATTATTGTCTTTTCCGGAGACCACGGCGACATGCTTGGCGAGAGGAGCTTGTGGTACAAGATGAGTTGGTACGAGAACAGTGCACGAGTACCGATGATTATCAACGGACCCAACATCGCGCCAAAGAAGGTTAATGAGTCGGTATCAACCATGGATCTTCTACCAACTTTTGTCGACCTAGCTGGTGGACGAGTCGATGAGCGCCTTCCACTGGACGGCTCTAGTCTTCATAACTACCTTGTTTCAGATAAACCAGGCAAGGATGAGGTATTTGGTGAGTACATGGGTGAAGGCACCGTTACGCCCACGTACATGATCCGTCGCAACCAGTGGAAGTTTACCTACTCTCTTGTAGACGGCCCACAACTCTACAATCTTGTGGAAGACCCGCAGGAGCTGCAAGACCTCGCTACCTCAACGGAGCCTCAGAACCAGAAGATGCTAGCCAAGTTTGAAGCCGAGGCGCGCGAGAAGTGGGATTTCAAGACTATTCACAACGACGTTGTGCGAAGCCAGCGCATGCGCCAGCTTGCTTGCAGCGCGTTGAAAATTGGCCGCAAGGAGTCTTGGGACTACCAACCGCCGGCCAATGATAGAGACCGCTTCATCCGTTCCCACATTCCTCTGGATGAGCTTGAACGTCGCGCCCGCTTCCCGATCGTGGATTATCTGGGCCGCGAGAAGTCAGCTTTAGCATCTCATCATGGCCTTGCTGGGGCCAAGGGCCAGTGAGAGTACGTCCCCGTGTTGAGCGCGTATAACGATTTCCTTCTTCGACCAATTTGTGTCGCTACTGATGCTGGATGTCTCCAACATTTCAACACTACTTTGTAGCGTCTTCTCCTTATGTCTTCTAGCGACTCATGGCGTTATGAATTTACGGCGCGGGATGTGTACTGCCGAGCGCTCTGCATGCAGCGTGATCAGAATGAGTCGCATTAATGGCGTTTGGGAGCATTTGAGGGCGTGTCGTCTTGGCGAATTATCTGATATTCATGAGGCCCAGAGCGAGACACAGACGATGATCAGCATAGCTATCTCTAACAAGTATGATAATAAAGACTTGATAAGTTATCTTCATCTTGATGTTAAAAAAAGGAATATACTACTATCGAGCGTTCTGGATTAAGTGTTGTGATAATTGGAAGAGGGGAGAGGTAATCGCGAGGAGCACGATTGGAAGGTTGCGATAAGCTAGGTTTCACCTACACGTGAGGTGGCGTTCGCCTCCACAAGCCGAGTGAGACCGACAGCGGAAAGGTGCCCAGCAGTGACGCCTGTAACCAACTCGGTGCAACACCAACCTCAATCACAGCTACATAGACCATCTCTGCACAGATTCAGACGTCTGCTTCTGATCAACCACCTACAGCTTTGTTCATCACCCGCGCGCCATCATGTCTACTGCAGCCCGCCGCCGCTTGATGCGCGACTTCAAGGTACGCCGACAGTGCAAGCACAGCAAGCTCTGGATGCTTGCGAAACATGTTCACCAGAGCACACAACTGACAGCAAGTACAGCGCATGCAAACCGACCCGCCTGCTGGCGTCTCTGCTTCTCCAGTTGCAGACAATGTCATGACTTGGTACGCTTCACCGCATCCACCCCGCACGCGACCTCGAGTATGGCGGACATGAAGCCACTTCCGGGCCTGGAACAGACAGCAGCAGCATGCACACGCATTTTGAACTCCAAAACTGACATTTACACAGGAACGCAGTTATCATCGGCCCCGCTGACACGCCGTTCGAAGATGGAACCTTCCGCCTTATCATGCATTTCGAAGAAGCGTATCCCAACAAGCCGCCGGGTGTCAAGTTTATCAGCCAGATGTTCCACCCCAACGTATACGGAACGGGCGAGCTGTGTTTGGACATTCTCCAAAACCGATGGTCGCCCACGTACGATGTCGCGGCCATCTTGACGAGTATTCAGAGGTACGTCAGAGGAGGGCGACGACTGGACTGTTAGCATGGTGCGGGACATGTACTGACAAGCGCAGTTTGCTGAACGACCCAAACACATCGTCTCCCGCCAACGTCGAAGCGTCAAACCTGTACAAAGAGAACCGCAAGGAATACACCAAGCGTGTGCGCGAGACGGTGGAGAAGAGCTGGGAGGATTGAGGGTACGGCTAGAATATGAATATCACGACACGACGGCATGGGATGGAGTTATTACGGGACAGGGACAATGTCATATCTGTTACTGGCAGCTCAGTGGCTTTGATCTCGAGCTTTTCCAGCGTGGCGTTTGGCTCGATGGTTTATATCTTTCAGCGACGTAGCTAATATACGTCTGTTTTGGTTGGAGTCATTCACCGATGCCCAGTGTCTTCGTTGCTCCACTAATGCAGGGATTCCCGGATTGGCTGTCTTGGGTGCAATCAGCGCAGAGCCGCATGCTTCCGTGATTGATACTACGACTTGAGTAGATGCAAGCAGACCAGACTTGGATTTGGCAGTAAGCGAGGATTCTGTTGGTTTGTGTAGTCTCCAGGTCGAGTTGCGTCACAGGCGCTGGCTGCGGGGAGGAGGAAGGCGCGCTATGGGCATGCAGACCCTGGCCGATGTATCAACACAAGCCGAAGCCTGCATCTCTACAATAGGCCGGCTTCAACGCAACATCGACTCCCTCACCGCGCGCCCTCGTACTGCTGCCCTCTTTGTTTCTTCTGGTGCGCTTAGCTTTGGATCCCCGGCGTGCACCGAGACCGTGTCCGTGGCCGTTTCATCAGTTCCCCTTAACCATAGCGGGGCCTGTAATTACCCACCTCCACGCGCCGAGACAGTCAGGGACGTGACGGTGCCACAACATACCCTCCCGTTGGGGCTGCAGCGACACCTGCATCCAAAGCGCGAGAGCAGCAAACAGAGCGAGGCCTCTGGGCCGCAACGCCTGAACCCCCAGCAATCATGTCGTGAGTAGCTCTGGCGATACCGGCGAAGAGGGGTGAGAGACACGGCTAACAAAATGGGCGACAGGGGCTCCAACACAATCAAAGGTGCGCCGCATACGACATATGTACCATTTCATGCAATGGCGAGTACTGACGGTAGGACAATGCAGTGGTGGCGCGGTTCCGTCCGCAGAACAAGGTCGAGATAGCCAGCGGCGGAGAGCCCATCGTTGAATTCAAAAACGATGACACATGTACGATCCAGGTACGGCATGCCAGCTCCATAGACACATGTCCAAACCAACCAACCAACCAACCAACAAGAGTCGCTGACACCATGTATCTAGTCGAAAGAGGCCTCTGGCGCCTTTACTTTCGATCGCGTCTTCGACATGAACTCCAAGCAGGCCGATGTCTTCGATTACTCTATTCGCCCCACCGTCGACGATATCCTCAACGGATACAATGGAACAGTCTTCGCTTACGGCCAGACTGGAGCGGGAAAGTCATATACAATGATGGGTAGCGACATGGACGACGAGGTCGGCAAGGGTGTCATCCCACGTATCATCCAGCAGATCTTCGCAAGCATCTTGGCCTCACCGAGCAACATCGAATACACCGTTCGCGTCAGCTACATGGAGATCTACATGGAGCGCATTCGAGATCTCTTGGTCCCACAAAACGATAACCTGCCCGTGCACGAGGAGAAGAACAGAGGAGTCTACGTCAAGGGGCTCTTGGAGGTGTACGTATCGAGCGAGGATGAAGTCTACGAGGTTCTCAGAAGGGGTGGGTCGGCACGAGCCGTCTCAGCAACCAACATGAACGCCGAATCCTCACGATCGCATTCCATCTTTGTCATAACAGTAAACCAAAAGAACGTTGAGACGGGCTCATTGAAGAGCGGGCAGCTCTTCTTGGTTGATTTGGCCGGTTCTGAGAAGGTTGGCAAGACCGGAGCGAGCGGGCAGACCTTGGAGGAAGCAAAGAAGATCAACAAGAGTTTGAGTGCCTTGGGTATGGTCATCAACTGTTTGACCGACAGCAAAACACAGCATATTCCCTACCGAGACTCGAAGCTTACACGTATCCTTCAAGAATCACTTGGTGGTAACTCTCGGACAACTCTCATTATCAATTGTTCGCCAAGTAGCTACAACGATGTCGAAACCCTGGGTACACTTCGGTTCGGTATGCGAGCCAAGACCATCAAGAACAAGGCCAAGGTCAACGCTGAGCTCAGTCCCGCCGAGCTCAAAGCTATGCTCAAGAAGGTGCAAGGCCAGATGACGACGTTTGAAAGCTATATTGGTACGCTCGAAGGCGAAGTGACGCTTTGGCGTCAAGGAGAGACTGTTCCCAAGGAGAAGTGGGTTCCCCCTCTAGAGGTCGCTCCATCATCAGGCAAGAAATCAGCAGCAGCACCGCGTCCAGGAACGCCATCAAGACTGGAAGCAACAAGAAACTCGGAGACGCCAACGCCACGACCAGACTCGCGAATGGATCTAGACCGCGCAGGCACACCAAGTATACCTCTGGACAAGGACGAGAAGGACGATTTCTTGCGAAGGGAAAACGAGCTGCAGGATCAAGTTGCAGAAAAAGAATCACAACTTGCCAAAGCTGAAGACCAGCTCAAATCTGCCAAAGAAGAGCTTCAGTACTACAAGGAACGGGACGCGAAGACAAACAAGGAAAACGAACGAATGACTATGGAGATCAACGAGATGCGAATGCAGGTTGAGAAGATTCAGTTCGAAAGCAAGGAGCAACAAATCACCATGGACGGATTGAAGGAGGCCAACTCTGAACTCACTTCCGAGCTGGACGAGGTCAAGCAACAACTCCTGGATGCTAAGATGAACGCCAAGGAGACGTCTGCTGCTATGGATGAGAAGAAGAGGAAGAAGGCTGAAGCCATGGCGCAGATGATGGCTGGCTTCGACCTTGGCGGTGAGGTCTTCAGCGATAACGAGCGAACGATACGAAAGATCATTGAGCAGCTAGATCAACTCCATGATATGAGCTCATCTGGCGAAGCAATCGCTCCTGATGCAATCAAGGATATACGAGAGAAGATTGCTGAAACGCAAGGCATTGTACGACAAGCTGAGCTCTCTCTTACTGCACGCAGTGAGGAGGACAGCACATATGCCAAGCGCCGCGAAGCACTCGAGGCACGCTGTGAAACCCTGCAAAGTCAATACGAGGAACTTCTTGAAGGCAACCTCTCGGAGCAAGACAAGGAGGAGCTCAAGGCACGACTTGCCGATGCCTACTCTGCCCGACAAGAAGGCAACCTCGAGCTAGTAGAAAGCCTCAAGCAGGATACTGCACGCATGTTAGAAGAGAACCAGAAGCTCAAGGCCGAGAACGAAAGCCTGCAACAGCGCATCAAGAGTGGCGCCATTGCCAACGGTGTCGCAAACGGCATCAGCGGCAAGACTGTACAACAGCAAATCGCCGAGTTCGACAACATGAAGAAAAGCCTCATGCGCGACCTCCAGAACCGGTGTGAACGAGTCAGTGGACCATCGAGACTATCTATCGCAGACGTCGTGCTAATAAACTACAGGTTGTCGAGCTTGAAATCTCCCTAGACGAGACGCGTGAGCAGTACAACAACGTGCTCCGTACATCCAACAACCGCGCGCAGCAGAAGAAGATGATGTTCCTAGAAAGAAATCTCGAGCAGCTTACGGTTGTTCAGAGACAGCTTGTGGAGCAGAATAGCAGTTTGAAGAAGGAGGTTGCTATTGCTGAGCGTAAACTCATGGCGAGGAACGAGAGAATACAGAGTCTGGAATCTTTGCTACAAGACTCGCAGGAAAAGCTTACAGCAGCCAATCACCGGTATGTCATACTCACCCTTCAAACTACTTTGTCTTGGTACTAATAAGCCCCCTCACAGATTCGAAGCCCAACTCACAGCCGTAAAAGAGCGTCTCGAATCTGCCAAAGCCGGTTCTACACGCGGTCTCGGCTCCCCCGCTGGCGGCGCCAGTTACGCTGGTTTCGGCGGCGTCGGCAGTCGTATTGCTAAGCCTCTTCGTGGCGGAGGGGGCGGACCTGTGGCTGATGGGCCTGTTCTTCCTGTTATTGGTAATCTGCAGAAGCAGGACGGTGACGGAGGGGAGGCTAACAAGGGAAAGAGGACAAGTTGGTTTTTCAATCAGCGGTAGGGGGGATGTGACGAAGATATGAATGGAAGGTGGGATGGATACGAGAAGGCACTTGAGGGTGACGGACTTGGAATGGGATGGGCGTAGGGATTATGGTGGAGGACAGGGTGTTCATGGTGCTCAACGATGGACGAGGAATGGCATGGAATGGGACGGGATGAAGAGCATGCTGAATTGATTCATGCATGCGAACTCGGTTCTTTGGGGCGGGCGTCTTTGGTTTCGCTGCTGCCGCGCTGTTTTGCGTAACCTTTATACCATAGATTCATTATCTTTGAATACCTTGAGAGGGAGTATCCACGCATCGTTCCCCTGATCAGACTTCCCTCTTCCCCTTCTAGATCGTGTAATGCGTGTCAGTTGACGTATAGCTAGGCAAGGTTACTTGATCGTATAGGCTACTTGGAAGATCGCCTGTATCTTAACGCAATCCGAACCCCGTCAATCCGCACCAACCCAAGCTCACAGATGCATCACGGAAGATAGCAGCCGCTTGCCAAGCCCACCAATTCCACGTTCCACACTGCGGGGTCATCAAGTTTGGTTTACCGGGAACATACTAGCTACACGAGTAGTTATTTCTTCACGATGTCGCTAGAATCGAGTCAGTCTTGACGTGCGCCACCCTGGGCCCAGATCATCACCACGCTAAAGTTGCTGTCAATTCCCCGCACTCACTGACGGCACTACCCCGGATTTCGCTTGTATCAGGCACGATGGTTAGGTTGAGTGGGTCGAATGTGGGCTCGAGATGCGCTTTACTGGGCAGCTGAGATGCGTCCATTGTGCTTTTGAGGAAGCCAAGCTGAACGGATGGGAAGACATTTCCAGGAGTGTGGGGTCGATATGGGGCAGCTTGTGGTAGGAGAAGAGAAAGCAGGGATGTATGCAGATATAGGACGGGACCTGTCTCTGTTGTTTTGGGGGTACAGAAGAGATCTGTAAACTCAACATATCTTCCTTCGCAATCGTTCAACAAGCTTGATAAAAACAAACACAAACGGCTGGATTCATGGCTTCGGATACTATCCACCCCGACTACGACAAGGAAAAACAGCAAGTCGGTCATCACATCGAACATGCAAACACTCATACCACCAACGACTCTGCCTATGACCTGCAGCCAGAAGTCACTCTTTCGGGTGTAGATATGAAGAATAGCCATGCACTCAAGGGGGATGATTCGGATGGCAAGGTAGAGTGGAGTGTGCGAAGTATCTTCGCTGCCATCTTCCTTGCGGCACTATATACAGGTCCGTCTCCTTTCCTCATCTCCCCAATGCCATTCGAAGTATCGAACAAAAGGAATATATATACATATATTAACACTCGGTCTTTGCAGGCTCCCAGGTAATCCTGTACTTTACCGGCGGCTCCCTTTCTTTCATCGAAGAAGATCTCGGTCTATCGCGTGGATCTGCCTGGCTCCCCACTGCTAACATTCTTGCCATTGCCGCTGTTTGTCCATATGCAGGTTACCTCCAGGACCTCTTCGGCAAACGCTACATCGCTCTTTTCGGATCGTTTTGCATCTGCCTGGGATGCGCATTGATGGGTAGTGGACACAGCTTTGGACAGTTGTTGGCTGGTATGGCGATCTCCGGTGCTGGGGCTGCCACGGGGGAATTGACGGGGCTTGCTGGGTATGTATACGATAAGACGAGAGCAGATCGTTACAGAACTGGACTGACATGGTGACTTAGACTTGCAGAAGTAGTACCCGTCAAGTACCGGGGTTACTCTCTTGCTCTCGTTACGGCTTTTGTCTTGCCATTCTGCCCATACCTACTCTACGTGGAACTCTGGTCGCACAACGACGACGGCATCGGTTGGCGCTGGGGACCTTGGTGCGCGCTCATCTTCAACGGTATCGTTGGCATCGGTCTCGCCTTGACGTACTTCCCTCAGAACCAGTCGCGCGGCGATGGCTTCTCGCGACGAGCAATCTTGAAGCGTATAGACTACATCGGTGGGGTTCTATCCATCACGGGACTCACTTTGTTCCTCGTAGCCCTTCAATCAGGCGGCTACACACACCCCTGGGCCTCCGCCTATGTCCTGTGTACCATGCTCATCGGTCTAGCTCTAATCGCCGCTTGGGTGGTCTATGAAGCCAAGTACGCCCCTTACCCCATGGTTCCTGGCGAGCTCTTCAGCGGCCAACGCATCGTCGCTCTCGCATACATCGTCGCTTTCTCCGCCGGCATGAATTTCTTCTCTATCCTGAACTTCTTCCCCATCACCTTCAGCAGCGTATACACGCCAGTACCCGTTTCTATTGGACTCCGCGGCTTAGGTCCTGCTCTCACTACAGCCGTCGGCGCGATATTTTTCAACGCCGCACTGTCTCGCTTTCCAGGTCATACAAGAGAAGTACTGTTGTTAGCTGTGAGCATCATGACGGGATTTGCAGGAGCACTAGCGGTCATGACTCCGGACAACGAGCGTGTAGTCTTGTTCCTGGGATCCATGGCTGGGTTTGGTGTGGGTGGCGTACTGGTTCCTGCTGCGACAGTTGCAATGCTTGTTTGTCCCGATGCGCTTATCACCACTGCTGCTGCCCTGTCGCTGTCTATCCGTACGGTGGGCGGAAGTATCGGGTACTCCATCTACTACAATATCTTCGCAGGAAAACTGACGACCAACTTACCGAAGTATACGGCGCAGTACGCGATCCAAGCTGGTCTTCCAATGGAGAGTGTGGAGGCCTTTGTTGGCTTGTTCTTTACGGTGCCGGAGGAATTGGCTACGGCGGATATCGTAGGTGTTACACCAGCTGTAATCCAGGGCGCCACGAGAGGAACGCGGTGGGCATACAGCGAGAGCTTGAAGTATGTTTGGGTAAGTGCATAGCGTTTTTTTCATCGTCCTTGCTGTATCACGGAGCTAACATAGCCGGACGTTCTAGTTTACGAGTATCGCTTTCGGCAGCATAGCGATTGTGTGCACGCTTCTGCTTCCGAGTACCAAGAAGTACCAAACGAACCGCGTTGCTGTTCGAATCTGATTTACCAAGATAGCACATGAGATGGAGTTACTTGGAGATCGGATTTCGAGTAATGCGCCCACAAGCGCGACATATATGCGAGTTCTTCTCGGCACTCACTGAACGCGGATCTTACAATAGGCTTCATATGTATTCTTTAATATGAGTTCCCTCCCGTGCACATCGTGAGACTGAGAGTGGCGAAAATTCCCTGTCCATCTTCAGAAGACCTGCTTCCATCATTGGGCGCGTCACTTTGTATTCGCATCATCCGCGATCAAAGCCTCGACGTCTCGTTCCATAAGCCAGCTGCGAACACCCTCCATGACCTTCTCCAAAGTTTGGCCACCTCCCATCACGTCGTCTAGATCATGCACGGTGGTTCCACTCCTGTGATCGGTAACTCGCTGCTGGCCCCAATTATAGGTCCGCACCTTGTCACCGCGACCCATCTTCGCCACGCCAATAACGCTTCGTCGCATGTTCGCCATCTCCTCTTCGCGCTTTTCTCGTCTTGATTGGGCAATGCGTGAGCGCAGAAGGGCCCAGGCCTTTTCTTTGTTCTTGTGCTGGGATCTAGAATCTTGCATCGCGACGACTGTGTTTGTGGGGATATGCGTTAGCCGAACGGCTGACTCTGTTTTGTTGACGTGCTGTCCACCGGCACCGCTCGCCCGCATGACTTCCAATTTGACCTCCTTCACGTCGATGTAGTAGTCGCTGTCGGGGTCGTCGAAGTCCTGCTCCTCTGCAGAGTTTTCTTGTAGACTAGGTAGCACGTGTACAGATGCCGCGCTCGTGTGCGTACGCCCTTTAGTTTCAGTAGCGGGCACCCGTTGAACGCGATGCACACCTGCTTCACATCGGAAGACGCCATATGCGCCGTCGTTCTCCACCTCGATGATCGCTTCGGATAGCGGTACTCCAGCCTCAGTGGTGCCGTTCACGTTTTCGTACTTGAGGAGGTTCGTGCGAAAGCCATTTCGGTTGCAGAAGGCAGAATACATGCGGAAAAGGTCTCCAGCGAATATAGCTGCTTCTGAACCGCCAGCGCCAGGTCGTATCTCCAGAAGACATGGTAGATGTGCGAAGGGGTGTACGGGTACCAGAGAAGTGATTAGGTTTTGTGAAGCGTTCACGAGCTGCGTTCGTGTCTCCCCAAGATCGTCGGAAGCGAGTGATCGTAGTTCGGGGTCGGTTGAGGCGTCGTGTATCATCGAAGTGAGCTCTGTCACAGACTTAGTCCATATCAGCTACTCTATTGCTCCTGCAGGCTGCCGTATGGTGCTCACCTCATTCGCTTTATCCCACTCCCCTAGTGCGTTCACGATGGGGCTGTATTCGCCCAGCTTCTTCGCAGCGCGCGTATCGAAGCCATTGGAGAGTTTTTCAGTCAACTCTTTGTGCTCTGTAACAATTGCGCGGGCTCTTGAGAGCAGGGCTGGTGGTATCGACTCAGATGTTGCAGCTATGTAATGTTAGTGAATTCCGCAAAATCGGCAACCATAACACACACCATTACTCTGGAGGCGGATGCTGCATTTCAGCAGCGGGCGACTGATGCGCGATAAGCAATTGCGACATATCCAGGATGTTGTGAGCATAGTCATCGAGATACGTGAACTTCGCATCTGATGAATTTGTCGATGTTCAGCGCGTTCCGATCGGCTCGGAACGTGTGCACGTGACACTCAATACTCCATCCCGGCAGATGTCAACGGACTACACCGCTTTACCACCTTCCTCTTACAGATATGTCATGGCGATAGTCGGTGCCGCTGCGTTATGCTCCGAGGTGATTGTCGAGCGAAATCGGCAACCCGAACCGCAACAACTATCTCCGGGGATAACCGTAGGCCACTACTTAGTCCACGGGTAGGTATACATGACAGCTTCCCCATACCCCACTCTGGCATTGAAGCTGGTGTATTCGACTACCAATGCCTACCCCACGACGAAGCAAGAGGACCAAGACCCACCACGAGCCTGAAAAAGAGCGACCAGCAGAAGCCAAGATGGACTCCATCAATCTGGGTACTCACAATGTCTATCCCCATCCTGAGCCTCAGTTTGTACACTTCCCCAGTCGACGTTCGGTCGTACATAGCACCAAAGGGATCGTATCTTGCACGCAGCCGCTTGCGTCTGCTGCTGGAATCGAGATTCTGAGGAAGGGTGGAAATGCGGCTGTATGACGTAATCTATCACCAGTTTCGTTTAGTACTGATAGCAATCAGGATGCAGCGGTGGCTGTCGCAGCGGCAATTAATGTTACAGAACCAGGTTCAACCGGTATTGGCGGTGACATGTTCTGCCTCTACTACGATGCGAAGACGAAGAAAGTATCTGCCATGAACGGCTCCGGACGGACGGGGGCGGATGTCACGCTGGAAAAGGTCAGAGAGGACCTCAATCTCGCAGAGGGACAGAGCGGTCAGATTCCCATGGATCATGTACATGCGGCCACAGTTCCTGGCGCGGCAGCAGGATGGGTCGATTGCGTTGAGCGGTTCGGCAGCGGAAAGGTCACCATGGAAGACGTGCTTGCGCCTGCCATCGATCTCGCAGAGAATGGTTTTCCGGTCTCTGAACTGTCCGCTACTTTTGTAAGCTCTAATATGCTCCGTCATCAGGTGACGTTCTGACCATTTGAAGTGGAAGGCTAGCGAGAAAGACCTCCTGAAAGCATCTCCTAACGGCCGCGAGATGCTCAAGGATGGCCGAGCACCCAAAGCTGGAGAGATCATGAAGAATCCAACGATTGGTAATACCTTTAAACTCCTGGCCAAGCACGGAAAGAAGGGATTTTATGAAGGAGAAGTAGCTGAGCAGCTCGTAAAAGTGGTGCAAGATCTTGGTGGCTATCTTACTCTAGACGATCTCAAACATCATGCAGAGACTGGATCCGAGCCGGTTGACCCAATTTCGCTGAAGTATTACGGCCAGAAGGTTGGAAACAGGCCACCACCCGAGGGCGGCATTGAGTTATGGGAACATCCACCGAATGGCCAGGGAATCGTTGCTTTGATGGCTCTAGGCATCATCCAGGAGCTGGAGAGACAAAAGAAGATTCCGATATGGAGTTTGAACGATCACAACAGCACGGCATATCTCCATACAGTCATCGAGGCATTGCGAATCGCCTTCTGTGATGCTCATTGGTTTGTCACCGACCCTAATGTTGTCAAGGTACCATCCGCCGAGCTGATCTCACAAAAATATCTTTCCGAGCGCGCAAAGCTGTTTGATGCAAAGAAGGCCATTTCAGCGCCCGTTCATGGTTCTCCAGCACACCTGCAAAGCGATACCGTTTACTTCTGCTGTACCGACCCTGAGGGCAACGCCATTTCCTTCATCAACAGCAATTATGGCGGGTTTGGAACGGCAATTATTCCCAAAGGCTGCGGGTTTACCCTCCAAAACCGTGGTGCAAACTTCAGTCTTGACAAAGACCACCCGAACGTACTAGCACCAAGAAAGCGACCATATCACACAATCATTCCAGGCCTGACAACATACGTCAGCGACGGTAGCTTGCACTCCGTGTACGGCGTGATGGGTGGATTCATGCAACCCCAGGGTCATGTTCAAGTCCTCCTCAACCAGGAGGTCTTCAAGCTCAATCCACAAGCTGCACTTGATTCGCCGCGTTTCTGTATCGGTGCGGGTATGCCGAGCGCCGATGGCAAAATGACTGATGCGACGATATACCTAGAGGAGGGCATTGATCCAAAGGTAGTGGAAGAGTTGCGAGCACTTGGCCATAATGTAAAGCAGCTGGACGGCTACGGACGGGGCATGTTCGGACGGGGCCAGATCATCAGGAGACATGTAGATGACGGCGTACAGGTCTGGAGTGGAGGCAGTGATCTACGAGGTGACGGACACGCGGTGCCGTTGTAGACAGCCTTTTTCGACTCTGATGCGTCAGCATTAGAGAAGAATTAATTCAGTTCCATCATCTTTTGACAAACTTTTAGATATGCCACATATCGTCATACAACAATGATCCTACACACTATCTCTCGCATCGCGTGTGGCTGATTCGTTTCGCTTGAAGAACAAAGGAACCAGAGGACAACCCTTACGTACCGATGTGGCGGAACTGTGAAACACGAGCGTAATATCCATCCTCAGCAACTGTGCCGCATTCAGGATCAACTAAGCCAGTGGCAGCTAATGAGATTATTGGCAGGATGGCTTCATACCTAGCAGTACGATGTGCCACAATCCACCATGCTGGTTTCCAAAGGGCAGAATGCTCCTCTGCACCGCATGAAACCAAGCTAATCACTGAATGTGGCCATTGCTCAGGCGTAGTTATGAGGTGGTATGAGTATGAGCATATGCCGCAATCGAGCATCACATCGCAAATACCCAGGTACATCGCACTCATGTTCTTTCCATTCCCTCTCCAATACGACTACTTCCTACCTGGAACCATGGCACCTCTGCGTCGCCCTTCAACTAGATACGATGCCCTATCTTCCATAAACTCCTACAGTCTCTTTCCTAGTAGTCGAAAAGCTCCTTCTATCAGATCTACGCGCCGCCAGGAACCAGCCACAGCAGTCGCATGGACTACATCCAAACATGTGCAGCCTTCTACCATCTCTACACCCCCGTCGCCTACACGAGCAGATATATCATGCGGAATACAATTCTCACGACTCTTTTCCTCTCGTCGCCGTATCGCTCCTCGTCGAGACCATCGTATCCAGCGCATCCATGTACCTGCCGGATACCAATCACTAGACTTTTCAAGCTGGGAAACCTATTCAGAAACAGCTCGAGAATTTCAATTATACGCATGAGAAAAGGGCAAAGTGGTATCATTCTCGCTAGCAAAGGAATGAGAAAACAAAGACGGAATGAAATTACGCTTACAAACGCGCGCTCACCTCGCCCCCTCTCGTCCTGAGAACAATCTTTCAAAATCTTTCCAACCTGTTTCCATATACTATACCCGACAACCAATATACCACCTTACTCTACGTCCTCATTCTTGGCTTCATTTTCTATGCGTCCACCCGCTCTTCTAAACTGTAGTAGCCTCCTCCATCTAGATCCAGATTCTCCTGCCGTACTTGCCCTACTCCTGCCACTCCACACACTACTTCTCCTTCTCCTTGCGCCCTCGTCCACACTACTCTTCATCCGCATGCTTCCTTCGCTTCCATCCTCCGACGTGGAAGAAGAGTGTCGCCGTCGCCTAGGCTCAGATTTCGAAGCAGCGTAGTGCTCTTCTGGGCTTGATACGAGGTTCAGTTTGTTGCTGTCTGTGGGTGATGGGTGGGAGAGGATGGTTGACCAGGCGGCGGCTATTGAGGAACGACGGCCTGGTTGTAGGTCAGTATGTTGGAGTGGGGTTTGGGGTAGTAAGAATGGGAGTGCGGATGGCTTACGCATGTTTCCTGCTCCGCCACGACCGTAGGGGATACACGGGTCTTGTGTTGAGTGTGGTGACATCGTGAGAGGGGTCGTGGTATTGCAACGTCGATCTTGTTCTGGCAGATGGAGTGTAGTATGTCGACGTATTGACTGAAAAGTCTTTGATTGTGTCGAAGAGTATGTTTGACGATGGTATTAATCCCGGGTACCTGGACGGTGAAATAAAAGTCGCTCGTCCTTGGGTATAGGAGAATGCAAAAGTGGAGATGCCAAATTGTCCCAGTAAAGGTGCAAGGCCCTTCCCATATAAGCATCGATCCCACACAAATCGATCTGCATCTCCATGCTACGTAACCCACAATTTCTTCTCCTCGAAACCCCCATAGTCCCCGGATTCACCCGTCACGCTACTGAAAGCCCTGGCATTACCCACTCATATTCTAGAAGCCTATCTCTTAACCACTCGAGTGCTAAGAATCTGCCGGGAACATATAAGCTTTTTATGCAGGGTGATCACTTCCTTGGCAAGGATGGTTCGAACGAGTAAGGGGATGTCAAAGAGGGCACCACTGGCGCTTGAGAAGCTTATCTATGCATGGCTGTGCTTGGCGAGAATGACGATTATGGGAACGCTCATGGGTTGACACGTTTTGTCGCGTGATCGGGGAGAGTGTGGGACGATGCGGAGGTGACCCCGCGGGGTGCGGGTGGCTTGCTTTTGAAGATCGGCAATGAAGACGACCAGTATGACGTAGCGTCGGCAGACAGGATTCGATGACGGGTTGGGACGCTACACACAATTTTACGTTCGATGTGATTAGAAACTTCGGGACGAGCCACTGTGCCGGTGCGTTTTATGTTCCTGGCATCGAGGGGCCGAGTTTTCATGATCGGTTTTCTCAGTTTGTTACGATAACTAGGTCCCCACGATGCCTACTTGCCACTCTCAACGACCTTGTGACATTTCGAGACCATGTGCATTTCCGTTTTGGGAACCACCCAATCGTGCAGCATCATCTCCTTCCCAAATCCACCTACACATTGCCAAACCCCTTTGAGTTCCTAATAGCCAATCCCAATTTCTTTTCCAGAATTTTCTTGTCTTGATAATCCGGCAAGTAGAGTTTACCAAAACAGGTCGAACTACTCGGCAAGCCCCCTGATTCTGCGCCCGCGATCCTCACAATATGGAACGTAATACTCTCATACCCCGTAACCGGTACCCGGTCACTCGCCGTCACGAACTCCAGCAAGTGCCTTAAGTCCTCTTGACTGTAATCCTCTACCACATCCCAGAAAGCGCGGATGTTGGAGTGGGACGCGGTGTAACCGTCTTCGTACTTTGCGCAGCGTTTAAGATCGGAGATAGAGATGTGCTGTGTGCCTTCGATGAGGTGGCGGAGTGTGGAAGGGGTGAAGAGTTGGAGCGATTTGGCGTTGATGCAGGTAATGAAGCCACGAATGAAAGAGGTAAGTTGTGGGGCGATCGAATCGTAGGTCAGAGCGCGGACATAGGCTCGAACGTACTGTTCTCGATTGATGTTTGTGACTAGATCCGGTTCTTCTTGCGATGATTCTGGAGGTGTTGTGATGGGAGCGGATTCGTGAGAAAGGTTCTGGTTGACGATTTGGCCGAAGGCTTCGTAACTGAAGATGTACTCGCGCACGAAGACGTTTGAAACGTCGCCATCGCGCCAGGATAAGAGTTTCTGGAAGCCCTCAGCCAGGCTCGGCCAGCCGTCTCTTATATAGCTCAGTGCGTCGTACCCAGCCACACGTCTGCAGAGCGGATTGCCTACACTTTGGAGGCAGTCATAGAAAGCCAAAGGAAAAGTGATGGGCAGAGTGATGCCGTTGTATACAGCAAGACCGAAGAGTATGCCGAGCATCTCAAACTTCCATTTGGGTTCCAGACTTTGTGGTTGGAACCACGTCATACGTGTCTGCGAATCGATTGTGAACATACCTGACAAACTTAGCGCAAGAACTTGTGTAGTCGTCAAAGTGTAACTCACCGTTTTCAGGCCTGAATGCTTCGCTCATAACTACGCGGAAGAACTCATATGTCACGCCGCCGTGGTCTAGACCAACTTCTCCTTCCTTGTGGCCCATCTTGACCTTCAGCGGTTTGAGAAGCATCCTCTTGTCCTGGCCCCATAACTGATCCAGTGTATCCTTCAGTGGTTCTTCGCGACTAACATCCAGCACCAGGTAATCGCTAAGTGTTACCTTGGTTCGTCTCTTAATCTCCCACCAATAAGGTTCTTGTAGGAACATCTCTAGCGATCTCTGCATTTGATGTGTGCGCATGGTGTGGTCGTACTGCTTCATCATCTCCGTGAAGTTGATTGTGCGAAAGTAAGCCACAAGGTGCTGCTTGGAGAAGAGACAAGGGTACTCAAAGACATGTAAAGTGTTGGGATGATGCTCCCATGTAAGGTAGTTGATAGGCTCGTTCACGGTGTCTATTCGCTCGTGAAGTATTGGCATCTCGAACATTTTGGAGTTTAAGTACAAAGCTTGTTGTTTCGAATCTGTGTCTGTTAGCTTTTCTATTTTTATTATAAGCCTCCTGGTAACTTACGAAGCTTGTCGAGGATCATTATAGCTGTACCAACGCTACTCCATTTGTTTACCTCGGCCTTGCTTTCCCACTTCTTGATGACAATAGTCCGGAGCCACTCCATGAAAGTGGCTGTAACAGTCCATCCAGGGTCTCCGTCCAGATCATGATTGGTAGTCAATCTTAGTTTCATAGCCATACTAATGCGCTCCAAAACTTCCAAGTGCTTTATAACGACACCCATTAGTGTTGTGCTGAACCCAGTCGTATCTGCGTCGCCATCCAAGCTTGCCAGTATGTGCTCGAAGCAAGTTCGTGCTCCGATAGCACGAAGTAACCGATCAGCAAGACGAATCGCTGGCTCATACTCTAGCTCATCAATGATGTCCATGTATGGATGCACAAATTTATCAGGATGGGGAGTCGCGTCCGGCACCATGACGCCCCAGGATCGCAGCTTACGGATTTGTGCCCACGTGTGTGGCCATCCGACTGGTACTAGTGAGGTGAGTGCATGTATGCAAATCATAACGATATGAGCAGCTTCGTTTGTGTCAAGATAACGCGAGGCTGCAGCTTTATCGTCCTGGGTACCAGGTGGTTTGCCCGGTTGACTATCTGTGGAAGCGCCCTTCCTTGAGGGCCTTAGGCGAGGACTCTTCTGGACGACAAGCTCCGGTGGACAGGTAAACAAAGCCTCCAGCGCAAGCCAGAGGCTGTCGAATATGAGCGCACCGTTGCGATGGTTCCAACCACGGAAGGAGTTCACTAAGCGCAACGAGTCAAGATGTGGCAGAGGTGAGTCTTTGAAGTCTGGGTTGGCATCATGGAAAGACGCAAGGAGCTTTTGTGGATTGCTCAGCGCATAAAACAAAGACCGATTGACAAGTGGTTTGGCACGTCGAGTTCGCCGCCCAGGATCGAAGTCGACAACGTAGTTCAAGTCAGTAGAGCGGCTGTCGCCGTAGCGTAGAATGTCTTCCTTGAGCTTGTCGAGAATGTCGCAACTCAGTTTCGGTACGATAGGTACGCCAGGTGCTGTCGGGGTAGAGTTAGTGGTATCTTTAGTAGCTGACTTGGATGCTACAGAGGGAGCTTTGGTCTGATGCACAGCAGGTGGGATCGTCCCTCCGATAGTGAAGCTCTTTCTTCCTGTTTTTTTGATGGACAGCATTGTTGGGTCTGATGCACCGTCCACAACAGAAGAATGTGAAGCGGTAGAAGGACGTCGTTGGATTGCACCATTCGATGGATGGTAAGGTATCTTGTGGACATGCTGACCGTTAGTTAGGACCTCAGCGACAGAACTGCTCGAATGTAAATTGCCATGTGCGGCGGATGCTCGGTGTGAATGTTGGGCGACGTTGTCCAACTTCCCGTACAACTGTGATGTCGCTACATGGGCGTTTGTGTGTGGCGTAGACTCTGTATGGTTCCGCTCTGCCCGAGAAGCTGGTAAACGGAACGAAGTAAGAACAGAGGCAGGACTGGGTATATGCGCGGTATAAGAATATATCATAGTCAAGCTGTCGTACAAGTTCTGACTAAGAGCCTTCGGGTCCTTCCTATCTCGCTGTCGCTGCCTAAGGGCGCTTATCAAGTCGCCATGGTGCCCTTCTGCTTGAGTTGCAGCCCTACCGCCAGAGCTGCTTCCTGCAAAGTTCTGCTGACGTTGTTGTGCCAACTGCCCTATCGCAGGGTACACAGCGTAGTTCCCAGCCGAGTCGACCCTAGCTTGTTCCGCAAGACTGCTTGCGATCTCGAATGACTCGGGAGGGGTTTTGAGTTGGTGAGGGCACAAACCACGATTGGGATGATCTTGACCGGCAAGGTAGTGTGCAAGGGCGACGGCCGTGAGCAGCGTGGGTGGACGATGCGGCTTGGAAGCAGTGCGCTTGCTCGACGAGAGACACGTAGGGGTATTGCAGTAAGTGCTCTTACAGCCATGGAGGATCTGGGATAAGTAGCTGTTGAATAGTCAGCACTCGACTCCAACATGCATGGGGCTAGATGCCTACTGTCGGACAAGATACTGGACACGGCGCTGTCTCTCTGTTTGTGAGCATTCCAGGATGCGGCTGGCGTCGTGCACGTCTACAGCATTGTGCGGAGCATCGCGTTGACCCTCGGTCGAATTCATCATCGATGGAGGCGCAGGCGGGAAAGAGAGTTGGGGCTAAGCATGCAGACTGTTGATGGATGTGTAGCTGTCATGGTGCAGTACCACGGTATGGCTACTCACTCATAGTAGAGACGCGTGAACAGAGGCACCAGCAACCCACTGGCGATAGGGCTGAGCGAGTTAGTGGCCGAGGGGTGCTCTTGCCATGCGGCTCTAATCCGCTGCAGGGATGGCAGGTGCCAGTGGCTTGGCACACTGCCTGCCGATTGATGTCATGCTTCAATATTCGCCCCCCATGTCCGGGCGGTGTTTTGCGCAAATCCATCATCTTCGCCGTACAGGACCGCTGATAAGGCCCAAGAGCTTACTGCCACTCCTCCTTGACTTTGTAATCGTCCTCTGTTTGACCTAGTGAAATTTTGCCCCTCGGCCAGTCATAAAGTCGTGAATTGACCGCGCTACCGTATCCCACACTCAACCCCACCTAATCGCCTATTATTTCTACTCCTCTCTCTCCTCCTCCTCGCAGTGCAGCCACGCCGACAAGTACTCCAATATCTGCAAAAATGGCGTCGCAAGTCCCTACCCAGGCTAACATCCAGTCTACCCATCCTTTTACCTGCAACACATGTCAAGTCGCCTTCCGGTCGAGCGACCTGCAGCGGGCGCACATGCAAACCGACTGGCACAGGTACAACCTCAAGCGTCGCGTCGCCTCCCTCCCACCGCTGTCCTCTGAGATCTTCACCGAGAAGGTCCTCGCAAACAAGGCCACCGCTGCCGCCACTGCCGCCAAGGCTTCCTTTGAGAAGGTGTGCACTCCCTGCCAGAAGACGTACTTCAGCGAGAATGCCTACAACAACCACTTGAACTCGTCCAAACATCGCATCAATCTGGCCAAGTCAGGCAGAGGCGCGCAACTAGATGACGCTGCCTCGGTCACCGGCTCCATGGTCAGCTCTGCCTTTTCCCTGGGAGAGTCCATGGCTGATTCCGAAGTCACTACCGTCAACGGAGACGCAGACAAGGATGTTGCACATGTGGCCGACGGTTTGAAGAATGCGAGCATCGAGGAACAAAATGCCGAACAGGCTGCCACTGCCGATGGCGACAAGACTTCCGTTGCCGCATCCAACAAGCCTGCTAGCGATCCCCTCCTAGACTGCCTGTTCTGCAACTACAAGTCACCCAACTTCCAGCTCAACATTACCCACATGGGACGCTTCCACGGCATGTTCATACCAGAGAAGGAATTCCTTGCACAGCCCGAGGGGCTTATCAAGCACCTCCATGAGAAGATCCATGCTTACCATGAGTGTCTTAAGTGCCACAAGGTTTTGCACACTGCCTCAGGTATCCAGACGCACATGCGCGATCGTGGCCACTGCATGATCGCATTCGACACCGATATCGAGTTGGTTGAGATTGGCGAGTTCTACGACTTCCGCAGCTCCTACCCTGATGCTGCCGATTTCGACGAGATGGCAGAGGAGGCTGAAGATTCAGACGACTCGTCCTCCACAACAGGAGGCGGAATCAAGCTCGGCGCCAGGCGCGAGACCAAGACCACTACAGAAGACGACGCAGCCATGTCGAGCAACGCCGAGGAAGACGATGCAGGCTGGGAAACCGACAGCACTGTATCGAGTGTACCGACTGATGAAATTACAGCTGTGCCAATCGACCGCACCCACCGACACAAGTCGCTCAACAAGTCCAAGCACCACAACCACGCAGATCCACGCCCACATCGCGCTGCAGACGGCTTCCACTCGCACGCCCACCATACACCCCAGGCCGTCTACTACGACGAATACGAGCTACATCTTCCATCCGGTCGTACCGCTGGTCATCGTTCTCTAAACAAGTACTACCGCCAGAATCTGCGAAACTACCCCGGTGTAGCCGAGCGTATGGAGGAGGCTCAACGCGCCCGGATACCCGGCGCCATCACAGCTGGCGGCGAGGACGACGACGAAGAAGACGAGGACGGTGATGCCAACATGGACGGTGAGGAGCGTCAATTACAAGTTCGTGGACGTGGCCATGATCAGGATCGCCAGCTCATCTCGCGCGCCAACGGCGGTAGGGGTATGGTCGGTGTCACCGACGCAAAGAAGAAGGAGATTCAGGCTATTGAGAAGCGCGACAGGAAGAAGGAGCAGAATGCCCGCAGCAGGTACCAGGCTGGTAACGAGAAGAGGCATAACTTCCAGAAGCACTTCCGTGATCCTCTCCTACAATAGATGGGTTCGCTTTCGCGGTATGGCGGGGTTTGTTTTCATTTTCTTCCTTTACTTTTTTTTTTTTTTTGCCTCACGACTATTATGAGCATGGTTCGGAGTTTGCGTTATGAAAAAGGCATGTAGAACGTTCTGACTAGAATGTCGCTCGGACTGTGGTATACCTTGAAATATGATTTACATGAAAAGCACAATTGTCAGGTGCACGCATTTGGTGATGACGACTTGGTTAGACCCTGGCTTGTGATATTTAGGCCTGCAAAATATGCCGTACCATTATACTACGTCCAATTACCACATCAAGCTGACATAACAGGTACAAAGATAAAACCATCGTCGCAACTATCAATGAACCCAATCTCCCAGTGAACTACTTGTTCTTTCCCTCCCCCCGCAACCCTGCAGCATGCACTTGCCTCCGAATATCAAACAACGCATCGTCAATCTCCTTCTCTTCATTCCGCCCCAGCACCAACGTCGGAGTGCTAAAAAGGTAGTCTTTGAGGCTCTTGAGCTGATTGATGATACTGCGCGGCGTGAGGATGACGCGATCGGCAAAGGAGCGGGATGGTGTGTCGGTTCCCGCCGTTGCAGAGGGTTGGGATTGGGAGTGTTGCGGCTGTGTTTGGTGCTGGCTGGCTGGTACTTGGTCTGAGCCTGAGGTCGAACTTGAGGCTGAGGCTGAAGCTGAGGTCCTGGGCTCAGTAGCTTCTTTCTGCTGAGCTCGTTGGGGTTCCGCCTCTTTTGTCTGTGGAGATAGCCTTCCTGCGGATTCTCCAGAAGATCGTGGCCGTGGCGAAACTTGTATATGACTAAGACGCTTTGTCTGACTCCCTGGCGTCGTCTTCTTCGCCTCGCTGACGTCTTGGTCTGTATTTGACTTGACCCGTTTGTTGGGTACGGGTGTCTCATTCATTGTTGTGTTTTCTATATCGTGTGAATTCTCGACTTGAGAAAGAAGAGATTGAGAGCGTCGTAGGTTTAGTTTGCGAGTGGTGGCAGGACTGGCAACAGGAGCGTCGGTGGTGCTAATCTTTCGTTTCTTCCCTCGTGACTTTTCGCTTGCTTTTGGCGACGCGGCCACGACGATGTTGTCAAGCATCTCCTCGTCTTTGTCCTGGGCTTGTGCCGGCGTTGGTGCCGGTTCCGGTTCCGGTTCTGGTTGTGCCACTGGTTCTGATTGGGATACTGGCTCCGGCTGTGAAACTGGTTCTGGCTCCGAAGCGTGTTCTTCTTGTGCCTGTTTTCCAGCTTTGGTTCTCCTGTCTTTCTTCGCAGGAGTGCTCGTTTTCTTCTCGGCCCTTGCAGGAGTACGTCTGGGCTTCTTTCCACTTGGAAGACGTTCAAGCCGAGCAGGGCTTCCAATGGAACTACGTGTAGAACGGCGCAACGCATGCGGGGTTCCTCTCACAGAGCCCGTATCAAAGGAGTCTCCCACTCGACTTGTACTGCTTGTCGTTGCCTGGGAGCTCTTGCGCGAAGCTCGACGAGCAGGCCCGCGAGTTGGCGTCTGAACATCGTCTACTTCGGTGTCACTGCCGGGGTGGTCGTCGTTAGTTGCTGACGACTGTGGGTGCAACAGCGAAACGGCAGCATCAGCGATGTCGTGGTTTGATGCTGACTGTTGCTCCTCTATCCCTTCGGGGGCGGTATCGTGTATTTGCATGTCGGCGTCGATTTGCGCTGTGAGTTGTAGGTCTATGGTTGAACTTGGCAATTCTGACATGATAGTATCTGAAACGCGGTCGGAGGATATTTGAGGGTTGTCGTGGGGCGCAACAGCGTCAAGTAGTGCCTCTTCGTCAATTGTGGTTCCTTCATCAAAGGAAGCCGAAAATGACCTTTCAGGCTGGCGATAGTCAAAGCTGGAGCCTACGAGAACATCAGGCCCGGTTTCTTTGCGGATGGGCCTATCTTCCTTCTCAAATCGCGGCGGCGAAGAGTCTGGTTCATCGTTCGCATACTGGATGCTTCGCACAGCCGTGGGTGTGGCAAGGTCAGTGTCGTCGCTTACGATATTGCGAGTACTCTTGCGGGTATGCGGAGTTGGTGAAGAGCCAAAGTAGCCGTCCATAGGTCCCACTGCCGCAAGAGCCTTGAGTGGTGTTGTCCGAGAGGAGTGGTTTGGCAGATCATCAGCTGTCAATGCATCTGAATGGAATTCCAACGGCGATGGCACCTCATCCGGCTGTAGCGAAGGTGCACCAAGGTTGGCGAATAGACCGCTGCTGAGTTTCTGACGATCGATCATCTCCTTTTGTCGATCAGTCAATACCTGCGACTCTTGCTGGAACGGGTTTGATGGTGAGGACATGATAGGTTCGAACTTTATCTGAGAGTTGTCGTGTCGGAGACGGACCTTTGGCGTCAGTCGCGAAGGCATCCTTCTGGTGGCTGAAGCCGGTACCGCTGGAGACCGGGACTTAGACCTCCGTGACGCTTTGGAGATCTTAAAGGGAGTGCCCTTAACTCCTGGGCTCTTGAAGGCACGTTTGACTTCGTCTGCACTGGTATCTGAATCATAAAATGAGAGCTTGTTCTCCTGCTGTGGCGTTAGTGATGTTATGCAGGGGCTTGTAAAGTTGCTTACAGCATCTTCTTCCCGAACTTCTAGAGAGGGCAGAGAAAGCTCGACGCTATGCCATAGTTGACGAAGGGACTGCTCAAGTCGAGGGGGATATCGTAGGCTATCTTCTTTTCCGAAGGTTGCATTCCAGGTCACAATCGAGAGGTTGACGATACTTCGGCGTCTGCTAAGAAATCCCGCGGTAATCATCGGCTGTAGATGAAGTAACACCTGGCTGTCTTGACGCGGTAATCGCTCAATAGCTTTGCAAGCCTCCTGCCACAAGCTGACCACCTGAAGAGGGTTAGCATCTACTCATATCCTACACAGCAATGAACATACCTCGAGATGTAAGCTCTTCAACGACTCCTCCCTGCTCTGCATCTTCCTCTCGGGATCTTCGACCCAAACATGGATCGCGTCTTGTATCTTCCGCAAATAGCCAGCGAGATGAGACGTCGAGCATTGCTGAATTGAGGCACTGAGCGCTGAAAGAAAGCCTTTTGTTGGCTCCACGTTGTCTTTGTCAATATCTCTGTAAGCGGCCGATCCAACAGAGATAATGGCTCCGTACAGGTGAACGTAGGGATCGATGTCTTGAGACCGTCCGGGTACTGAATTCGAAGGCCAAAGACTCTGTCGGCCTTGTTCCAGCACTTTGCGGCTGATGAGCTTTGGAAGGTTGCGAAGAAGAATGCTGGCATACGCCAGACAAGAAGCTTTCTCTTCATTCGGTGTACGCTTGAGCACATGCTCAGATACCTTCTCAATGACCGCGAGTGGAAGCGCACCCTCTCCTGCTTCCCGCCGGACAGTACTGACAAAAGTTGATAAGATTTGGCGACCAAGTGCTTTTTCCAGGAGGCAAGCAGAACCGAGACTGAGGATCTCCACCACAATTTCATACTCTTTACCCAGACAACGAGAATTGCGCTCGCCTGAAGGAGGTGACTGGTCCTCCAACAAGACATCGAGCAATGTTCCGATCCGGTTCCAGAACTCTGACGCCACTGCGCCCTTGAGCGAACCATCGACTGCTGCCGCACAATCTCGAAGAAGCTCCAGTTTGCTCAGCCGGGTGTTTTGGACAGAGAAACAAGGCTCGATGATAACTTCGATCGCACGGAGTCGAACTGGATCAGCTAGTTTCCCCTCGGATTGAGTGACCAAGAGATCGACAAGGTAGAGGAGCGGTGATGAGCGCGTTCCCTGATGCCGTGACCGATGAGATGGTGTGGATGCAACTTCGAACTCGTTGTTTTCGTTACGTGTGAGACACTTGTCTGCAAATTGAAAAGGGCCCAGCTTCTGTACCACAGTCTCTATCAGAAAGCAGAACTTGTCTGCCCATATGTCCTCCTTCTTCTGCGACAAGGCGATCTTCTCTGTGTGTTTATCCCAGATTCGGCGCAGCAGGTTGATTATGTGGGCCATGGCGTCTTTCGTCTCCGTTGAAGCCATGATTTCCTTGCTACTTGCTTCCACCAGAGCACCGATGACTGCTTGCCACATTGTTTGGACTGGCTCATCTTCCGGTTCCCTGCTCTCAGACAATAGTGTGGCATCGAGGAGAGTCTCTACGAACTGCAGTATCAGAGCAATCGACTTCCGCACCCATCTGGGGTCCACTAGGGGAAGCTCGTTACGTGGGATCATAACATTCGGTCGAAGATCCAGGGCACGGTACTCGTTCCATGGTTTCCGAGAACCGTCTAGAAGAGCAGATACGATTCGGCATGCGGGTATGGCGTGCCGATAAGAGGTGGGTACGGCCTGCTTTTTAGGATCAGGCAGGATCATTGGAGTCCAGACGTTGACTATGAACTGAGTCCAAAATCGGTCCAGTTGCTCAAATGTGGCAGTTGGGCGTAGAGCATAGTAGAGCAGCGTAAAGTATGCGGATGAGATAGCGTCCTGTTCGGACTTTTTCATGGGTATCTTTCTTTGCAGTGCATGTACTGAGATCTTGCGAAACATATCCGACCAACCTGCAGATGTATCTGGAGTCAGATTGACAGAATGTACCAGGAAAGATATGGCGACATTGGAGTAAACCCTAACCTGCTCGTTCTCCGATGAAATACAGTTCTGGAGAAGCGTGAGCCAATCTGCCAAAGCAGTGAACGTTTCGCGGTAGAGCGAGTTTTTCAGTAGGCCTGTAACAGCTGCCCAGATCTGTGGCACCAAAGCGGCATATTCACCGCCCAGTAAACGATAAAGCTCCATTATGAAGATGCTGGCAATGGTCGCACCGTCACTCTTGACCCGGTTCAGAACTACCAAGACGGATTTTGCGACATGCCGGTCATGGCCAATAGTTTTGGCGGCTGTTACTGCAGTGTCTAGCGCACTCTGACTGATATCCTTCTGAACCGATACCAGAGCTTTGAGTGTATGTGTAAACCATCGTTCGGTGTGCCTGATCATGACCTCGGGGCGCTGCTGAAGCAGCTTCCTGTATATCCGGACCCGGTATGCCTGTACGGCATGACCAGATGTTCGCTCATGGATGGTCTCTAGTGCATCGAGGACTTTCTCAACACGGGTCGCAGTCACGATCTTGGGCCGAAAGTTTTGTTGCATGAGCACAGCCAGATGTGTGTTGACGGTGGTCTTTGGCATGGTGCTATCGCTGACTATGCGGATAATGCGTTCTATGACGAAGGAGCAAAAGTCTTCGTCCATGGCGGACATCAAGTCGGGGATGCGGAACAGAGCCATGAGCAGCTTCATGGCTTGTCCAACTAGTTGTGAGTCCAGTCCTGTACCGGCCAGACCTGGCTCCTGCATGTCGCGCCGTATAAATTGGGTCAACAGAGACAGTTTCTGCTTGAGTGCCTGATCGTCGGGAATCTTGTCGTATGCTTGCAGAGTCCTTAGCAAGGATTGGTATGCATCCAGGCGCGACCCGCGGTCAGAAGTCGCAAGCAGTTTGACAATGGCTTCGAGCATCTCGGCAAAGGACTTGAATCGATGTGCGGCGGCAGCGTCGTCTGCAGGCGGAGGCGTGGCCGTGCCGTCGGCAGGCTTCAAAATCGACTTGAGCGGCTTCGTGAGGCGGGTCTGTGGAAGCGGTCGGAGCGGCGAGCTACGTGTGGGTGTCCAGGATTGTGCGACGGCTTTCGCGCTGGGCAAATTGCATAATTGTAACTCGAAGTTGACTCTTTTCCTTGCGCTGGCAGCACTCGAGGGTATGTCGATATCGGAGGAGGGCGATTGCTCTGGTGTATTAGGGGGCTTCTTTGCTGCCTTGAGCCTGGCAGGAACAGGCTTCTCGCCAAAGGGGTCCTCAAGGAATTGTAGCGTCTCGTCGGCGCCTGTGTCTTCTTGGTCTTTAGGTGGAGTGGGAGGGCGAACAGAGAGGGCTTCAAACTTGGACACCATGGCTATGCTGCAAATCGCTAACAAGAGAGGGAAACAAAAGCAAAAGAAGGCACTCGCATCGCTGTCGTATACGTGACTGAAGCCGAGGACGTGTAGAGCGAGTGTGGAGGTGACGATCGACTACCCCGGTCCAGACGACAAAGGTTGGTGTTGGCGACGCGTCTAGCGCGACGCTCCTCGTGCGCGTAAAGTGCTAACCTCAAGTGCCCATCCACTGGACAACGGCCCCTCGAGCCAACACCGGCTCCATGCGTCTGAAACCCAGCACCACATGTTCAGTCACATCGCATGCAATATGCGAATCCTCTTGGAATTAGACAGTTGGTGAATCACTTGCTTCATCTCAACAGGGATTCATAAGGAACCCTCCCCTCGTAGACTTAGAGACTTGACGTCGTTGTGCAAGACTCTCTGGCTCGTGCGCATCATCTTAGATTCATATGTTCCAACCTTCTATTCATAGATAATCAACCAGATCATGTGCAAGTAGACGAACCCCTACGGATACTTGCCTGCTGCAGACGCGCCTTGTTCGTTCCTCAATGTGGACCCCAGCGGTTGATGCAGGTCCCATAATAGTGGGGCTCTCCGAGCTCAAGCTTCATCCCACCTACGTGACGTGAGCAGCACTGATCGTCTTCCACAACTTGACCGCCATGTTATCGCAAAGAACGGGCAGAGGTCAGTCTCCTGTTCCGCAGTGCCTTCCTGAAATCATCACGGGCTAACGGGTACCAGCAAAGCTCGACGATGTTACCAGAATACTTTCCGAGTTGAAGGCCGACCTGGACGTGAAGAAGCTGTCTGTTGAGCGTACGTCTTCTTCCGATAGAATCAATGCCATGCGCTCACTGTCTGGACAGAAAGACGGCAGCTACTCGAACAGCTCAAAGTCTACGGCCGTTCAGTCGACAACTCCGACCCCATATTCACGGAAGATGTACTACACCACACCACGAGTCTACGGACGGCATAGTGACCGTGATAGGGCCTCCGGACACTAGGACACCACGCCTTTGACGGAGAGACTACACCTGCGGCACAGGAAGCTCTCCGATGCATAGCCAATGCTCTCCTCCTCCAGCCCAAGACGCGCCAGATACTCGTCAATCTAGGCCATGGTCCACATGCAGCGGAAAAGCTGAAAGTAGGCGATCGTGCCTTCGAACCTGGAAACAGAGCCGTATTAACTTGCAAACAGGAAGACAGTATCGATACTGAGTTCCTCGCCGCCCGTATCCTCTTCCTTACAACATACAACGCGAACCTCGATTACGCACAACTCGTCCGCGAGAACCAGCTAGCCGACAGCATCAATGCAGCCATCACACGGCATGCGAAACGATACTCCAAGTCCGCGTCACGCAGAAACGAACAGCCCATGGAGGCCATGGCGCTCTCGGAAACACTCAAGCTACTCTTCAACATCATACACCATAAACAAGACCTTGCTTCCCTCTTTGCTCCCTCAATACCCAAAGTTTTTAAGATCCTCGTACGGAGAGGAATACCATCACCGCCATTGTCCGGCCCAACGCGCGAACTAGTCAACATCCTCCTCCATCTAGACATCGAAAACGAACAAGGCCGAGAAGGCCTCTTCCCATCATTCGACAGCGAGGTCAATATCCGCCACTTGATCAAGATTCTCGACCAAGCACTCATCGTCTACCCACCCAAAGAACTCGATGAGACCGTCACGCCCCTTCTTACCCTCATCCACCGTATCTACACGATTGCTCCAGCAGAGATTGCCAGCACAATGGAGAAGTTACTCCTCCCCACAACCGAAGAGCGTGACCGCCCCCTCGGAAAGTCAGACACGCTGTCCTCTCGACTACTCAACCTATCCACGTCCGCTTTGACACCCTCACTGCGAAATGGAATATCGATGTTGCTGTGGAAACTCTCGCATGAAGATCCCGCGACATTTGTGCATAACGTCGGCTACGGCTTCGCTTCTGGTTTTCTCATGTCAAACAACATACAAATGCCTGAGGAACTAGTCAAGGAGCATGCACCAGAGAGTGGCGAAGAGGGCATACCGATCAATCCTATCACAGGGCAGAGGCTAGATAAGGAGGAGCAGGTGCAGATGGAGCCCATGACGCAGGAAGAGAAAGAAAGGGAGGCGGAGAGGCTGTTCGTGCTGTTTGAGAGGTTGAAGGCGACGGGAGTCATGGATGTGGTTAATCCGGTCGAGGAGGCGTATCGGTCGGGGAGAATCCAAGAGCTCAGTGATGACGAGGATTGAGAGTTCGGACTGTGCGGTTTGCGGTGAATTGGACACAGGGATCACGGCGTAAAATTTCTGCTTCGAACCAGTAAAGAAACATGAACAGATGATATTGAAGACTAAATATCGAGTCGCCTCGCCATATACCTGCTTGATCCCTGAAATATGCACTTTTCCACGCCTTGCTAAGTTGTGTCTAAACCTTTTGTTCCCAGATAGATATTGGACGTAGAATAGAATATAAGAAGATGGTCCTCCAACGCCGTGGAAATACCACTAGAGATCGCCGGAAAATGTGAAGGGTATGTTGCGAGCCGAATGTGACTGGATGTTAGAAGGCGGGTCGATCATTTAGATATTCGCTTCCATCAGGAGATCTCTATGATAGCATACGTTAAAGGCAAGATATGCTAGTTGAATGTACTGAGGATGTCGTATGCTGATTGGCGTTCATGTCAAAAGGGCAGACCGATCTGGCAAAGGAATACCTTGCATTACACATGGTTGGGCCGTGAGCCATGAGTTTCCCACTCCGTATGATGGTCGCAGCCGATGTGGTCTTGGAGACGTCGGTTGTCCTTGTCGCGTGGATACGCAGCAGGAATCTCGATACTAGGCAGGAACCTCATACCATCATCGTTGCTGTACTGATGTACCCATATCGGACCGAGAAGCTGCTTCAGCAAGCCAGCTACGAGGTTTCCCAGGTAAGCGTTGAGTTTGCACACTGGGTACGCAGCAACCCAGAGTAGAAGAACGCTACCAGCACCCTTTTGCCAAGACGACATCCCGGCGATGGTCGCGAGAGTGCCTTGGTCGTGAAGTTTGGTAATACCATAGGGTATGTTTCCAAGCCAGTCGAGGATGCCGCATGTGTGTAGGAGAAAAGCTGAACTGCATGCGCCGGCAGTGTAAGCGGCGAGCCTGGTGTTAATCTTGTACAGGACGGTAAACATGAATAACGTGCCAATAGTGGCCAGGAAGCTTCGAAAAAGCCATGTGACAAGGGCTGGTGTTGCGCTCAGAAAGGCGAAGCCTTCGGCGATGTGCTCGGTTTGCGTCTCAAAGATGTCCAGACGTTGAGCGATACTGTCCAACTTGGAAAGAGAGCGATCTGCGACATCGTTGGTTTGGTGGATGGTGTGTTGTGTGGCGGTCATATAATCCGCTAGCACATGGTAGCTTTCGACCTGCGCCTTGTGATTTGATTGAATGCTGAGCTTGGCCACTTCATGATGTTTTTGGAGCTCGTCAGTGAAGTATGCAGCGAGCTGGGAGCTCTCCAGTATCAAGTGTTGCGAGAAAGCCTGCATTCTCTCACGTATGTGGTCGATTTCGTTGGTCTGACTCTCCGACAGAGCGATGATGAGATCTGAGATCGATGACTTCATGAAACTCTGAAACTTGTCGTCAAGCGCTCCTACTGTGGCGACGGCCTTCTCTTGCATAGTTTGAACGTCTTCTCTGAGTTGCTGGTGGGAATTGCGGGCTTCTTCGGAGTACTGCCTTTGCTCACGAATTAAAGACTCGTATTCCTCAGTCGTGGCTTGCATATTGGATGTCACATCACCCAGAACTTGGGTCAGATTCTTGAAGATCTCAAGATGGTTTTCTCGCTCGATAACATCTCTGCTGGCCTGGCACATGACGACTGCATTCTGGCGAGCATTGCTGAATGAAGTCCAGTATTGAGGTGTGGATTGGAGGCTCTTTAGGCACTGCATGTAGTAGTACTCCTTGAATTCTGGGTAGCATTGCTTGTCGCTGGGAACTTCTGGCCGAGCATGCCACCAGCCACCGCCCTTCCCGCAGTGTCTTGATGCAGGAACCAGTATATCGCAATTAGGCGGTGGTGTTGGGTTGACTGGCTGGGCACTCAATAGTTCGCAAACAGCTAATTTGGCGGCATACTCGGTCTTGACATTATCCAGGTACGCATCTGGGCGAGATTTGGCGAAGTCCGGTGCGTGTTCCAAGAGCTTGCATTCGTTCATCAGATGAGAAGCAGCCATTCGAGTGCATGTCGGTGCTGTCTGCATAGACACGACAAATTCAACCGCTTGTGTTATTACCCTGTGGTTCCTCGATGTTGTGTATTGGAAAAGGGAATCAACATTGACTGTTGGAGCTGCATCTGCTGGTGGGGAGTGGTACTGAGACAATGCCGTAGGAAGGAGCAGCCCAGCTGTGATGAGCCTCGCCATGGTCAGTACATTTCGAGGGTTCATATAAGTAGCTTGCTGGTGGATTCAGGATTACCGAAACCACAGAGAAAGTTGGAAGCAAAATGAAGCAAGAGTCAGGAAATGGAAGGAAGTGGAGGAAGACGAGGAAGCGAAGGATCAAGCATGGTAAGATTGTTACTTGGACCAGCCATACAAGTTTGCGATGTAGTGAGAGAATGAGGAAGGCGCAGTGTTTGAGCTTCCGAAGCATGCTGGCCTGCTGCGACTGCCAGGTGAGGTCAAACTTGTGGTAAGAGGACACACTGTTAGTCGAACAGCACAAGATTCAGACTTGGGTGAGAGACCGACTGGTCAGAATTTTCGAAAGTTAGATTCAAGCTCAATATGGCACAACACGCTCCGACAGAAAGAATGATGACGGTCGGAGTGTTATGGTGTTGAGGGGTGTTTGGTGGGGGAAAGTGCGATGTGCCGGCCAATCAGAGACGGCAATGACGCGCTATCACGGGATCGGATAAGCTAGCCTCGAGCTGGGGATTGCCGAAAACTCTCGCGATCGTATCTGTCGGCATCAAGACAAAATGTTCGCCCCAGCACGACGGCGGTGCGCCCAAACCCTCGCGAAGGCCTCGAGCCCGACGACCGACTCAATACCGACTTTCCTGTTACCCGTATTCTCACGGCCTACGCCCGCCAGGACCTTTACCTTAACAACATCATGTCAATCGAAGATCGGGTCCCTACCGCTCTCGTTACCCCAGGGAGTCACATTCCAAGTGGTTGCGCCTTCGGCTAAGGCCAGGAGCTCAAGAGTGCAGGCAATGTCTACAGTACACATCAAGGGGCCGCTCGGCGAGCTTTCAATGAGCATTCCTCCATATATCAATATCAACCAGGATCCGGCATTGGGTGGTCCAACATTGACAATAGAGGACGCAAAAGATGCGAAACAGAAGGCAATGTGGGGTATGCGTGCTATCTTCGTAACGTGCTGCGCAATTGGCTAACTTGGATTCAGGTACCACCCGCGCATACCTCCAGAATCACATCCTCGGTGTTAGCGAAGGACACAGTGCCATTCTCCGCTTCGTCGGTGTCGGTTACCGTGCCTCAGTCGAAGACACTGCGACTACCGTAGAAGCCGAATTCCCGGGCCAGAAGTTCGTCAACTTGAAGGTCGGATACACACACCCAGTCGAACTCGCCATACCAAAGGGCATGACCGCGAGTACACCGCAACCGACACGTCTACTATTAGAGGGGCCAGAGAAGGAGGTAGTCATGCAGTTCGCGGCCAAGATAAGGGCCTGGAGGAAACCCGAACCATACAAGGGCAAGGGTGTCTTCGTCAACGGCGAGACCATCAAGATCAAGAACAAGAGAGTGGGCGGCAAATAGAAAGGATGACGACATTGTGGATATGTACCATATTTGTTCACTTTATACCATGAATTATTGGAACCGTCTCACCACGCGTAGTTGGGTCCGAAGACGGAGCGTATACCACGGTACCGAAGTACACCTCGGTTCAGGCATCCGTTCTTCGACCTTTGTTTCTGCGATTTCGTCTTGTTCCAGCAACTCAATCTTGGTTACACTGCTGCCTAATGGAACCTGGTAACTGGCTGGCTCTCTAGGTGGGGAACGGACATGAGTGATTATCGTATATGTACTGACCTTGATCCTTGATCTTGAGTACCTACATTCACACAGTTGCCAATTTCACACCATGTCTACTTCCCAGCACCGGAGATGCTATTTTCTACGTGATCCTCGTGAACTGCGCGATGAAATCTACGCCTACTATCTCAGTGACGAAGGATACTATCACCAACCCGAGTCGAATACCTTACGACATGCTGATAGGTCAGTCATCAATCTCGCATTGACACTGAGTTGCAAGCAAGTCGCAGCGGAGATGATAGCATTGCCCTTGGAACTGAATGCTGTGGAGTTCAGAACGCATCTGGCACCTATCGAGACAGCTAATATTGGAGAGCGGAAATGGCTATTCAAAGGCCCTCCGCCTGGGGATCGTCTATCTCTAAATTACGCGCCCCCTTCATGGGCTGGGTAGTATCACTTTCTGCTGAGACGTTTATACAAAATGGAGGCAGACGCTTGCGTAATCGCCTTCGACGCATATGGTATGACAAGGCTTATATACACAACTTCCTTCGCGCTCTTCAGTCGAAGCACATGCTGACTACCTGCGGCAGGTACCGAGGAACTCGCAAAATGCATTTCTGAACGATTCCCCTAAAGCTGCCTAGGCAGGCAGCTTCAAAAGCTATCACAAGTTGTGGACATAGACGTTTATGCCCCTCAATTGAGGGCACAACTTCGGAATTCGACATTCTACGAACGCCAAGCTTTGCAGTTTCTCCTTGAAAACATATCGGCTTTTGCTACTCAAACCAACCCCGTCAACGAGTTCAATCACAGGAGTAGCAATAGAATCAAGCTCTCGCTAGGACCTGTGGGTAGTGATACTTCTGAGATCGTCGCTTCGAGAATCTCATCCGTGGAGTGGCCACCTTGGGTATTGCCTACGGCGTGGCATATACCAAAGTTGCGCGAAATCGTCAACTCTGTAGATAAGAGCAACCCAGGGCAGGACTCCTACAAAAATGTGCACCAGCTTAGGTACTATGAATCAGCTACCTCGCAATATATCCGCTTTCTCGGCATGTTGGAACAGGACGCGAGTCTCCGCTTGCGGCACCTGATCATACGCGAAGACCGCAAATCTTGCACAAAACCACGTTGCCATGCGTATGGTCTTGTTCCATATCTCAAAGGTCTGCCTCATCTACGCGTCGACCATCACGTTGATATGTGGCATGCCATGTAAGTTGTGCATCCCTTCGAAGAATGGACACCTTTTGATAATGTATGAACAAGCTTTTCGACAGGGTACAGTGACTTCTCCGTTATAGACCTCGACTTGCGATCCTGGCCAGACCGCTGGTTTATCCCTTCGATATACAGTGCGGTACATAAGACCGCTGCCTGGATCAAGGAAGCGATGTATTTGCGACACGCCGGTGTGCCTCCTTCTACCTGCCGTCTTCATCTCGAGGCACCGATGGAGACCGTTAAGGATATCTGGGGTGCCATGAAGTTTTACGCAGCCCTTGGCCACTCGACCTCACATGAGATGGACTGGTCCTTCCCTTGTGACGATGTCTTTGTGTCTTGTGTACGACTCATTCTATCTGGGGATCCCACTGTACACTTGCCGTGTCCTATAGGCACTCTGGAAGAATTCGAAGAAGAGATTGGTCGCATCAGCGAGGATTTGAAGAGTTTGCCAAGAGGATGCTGGGAGGATTATGGAAACAATGTCTTTGAGAGAGATCTGGACACTTCGATGGTCGATTTCAAGGCCATCCATGAGTTGTATATAGACAGCCCGGCATGAAGCGGCCATGACTAATACGGACGAGAGACTTGAGAGGGGTCGGACTGGAATGCTGTAAACTCAACACGATTGATTGTTTTGATATCCCATCAATATGAAAAGTACCTTGCATCAGGAACCGCGGCGCGATCCAACTTGAAGTACCCAGGTTGCAGCTTCTGGAAAACCTGCGTCGGATCATACTTCTTTGCGACAGTCTTCAACTTACTCTTACTAGCCGATCCATAGCTCGCAATAACATCTTGGAACATCGCTGCATAGTTCATGTACACCCAATCATTCTGCACACCCAACTTTACCGCATCACTCTTGATAGCCTTCATGATATCGGACATGACCTTGTAAACGGTCTCATCATCCGCAGCATTGTTCCACGAGCATGCTAGCTGGATAATGTGAATAGAGCTCCCACTGGCATCGAATCCCAACGCGTTGCCACCGTTACGGGTACTGCCTTTGAGCGAACCATCTGTGATGTGCTGCCAGATAAGCACGGGGAATGCGCCTTCCGCTTCTGACAGAGCGTCGATTGAATCGAAGAAGATGTCTACGGAGCGCTGAGCGATCTCGTATGAGGCCTTGACTGTGATGTCGTAGAAGATCTCACGCTGTCCATATGTATTACTGGCCTCGTTGTCCACTACGTAAGAGGCATGGCCGCGCGTCTTCGTGCTGTCGGATACGGCAGTGATGTTGTAGAAAGGCGCCAGAATGGCAGACTCGTTACCAGCTGGTGCGCCATACCAGAGCTCCGTCGAAGCAATTTTTGCGCCGGCATTCATCCAGGCGATCCAGCTGCCAGCCTTGGGATCTTGGGCTGAGTCAAGTGTAAGGTCGATCCATGCTTTGACTACATCCGGGAAGACATCTTCGGTGAAAGTGCGAGTTCCGCCCCAGATTTGATCGTTGTTGAGTGGTTTTGTCCATAGGTTGAAGTTAGTCACTATACCGAGATTGTTTCCTCCGCCGCGGAGAGACCAGTACAGGTCCGGGAAGGTCTCAAGGCTTGCTGTGACTATGATGCCGCTCGCTGTGACAACCTGACTAAGGTTAGGAGGAGATTGGAGGAGGTGTATGCAACTGCTTACATCGAAACTGGCAACATTGTCACATGCCAGACCATACTCGTTAGTGATGAACGAGATGCCTCCACCAAGGGTAAGACCACCAACACCGAGGTCACCGATTCGACCGGCCACGACTGTGACACCAGTGGTCGAAAGAGTAGTCAGCACGTTGCCCCAATTGTTTCCTGGCTGTACCGCGACAGTCTTCTTATCTCCGGAAAGTTTGATGCCCTTCATGTTCTCGAATGATACAGTGATGCCACCTTCAATGGTAGCTGCGCCAGCAAACGCACTATGACCACCAGATTTAACGGCAAACGGACATTGTGAAAGCCGAGATAGAAGTACCATCACAGAAACCTCAGCAGGGCTTGAGGGCTTGAAGATACAGTACGGCCTCACATCGGCCGAGATCCCAGACCAGAACCCGGATGTGAATGCAGTGTAGCCGGCCTCATTTTGAAACTCGACAGACTTGTTTCCGTAAAGAAATTCGAGTGAAGAACACTACGTTTGTTTTAGCCCTGTCTCTGGTCAGACTCAAGAACACTTACAGCGATGTTGCAAGCCAAATCCGAAGACCGCTCCACAAGACCAGCTAGCTCTGGCAATGCTGAGATATTAACACCTTGATCAAGTAGAGCCTCAGTGACGTTAAAGTCGGGAGCTTCAAACGCTTGAGAAGCGACGAGCGTAGCCAACGTCGCAAGCAAAAATGACCGCATATTGACTTGGGTTGGTATCGACAAGGTGGTGGGGAACCATTGCTATACGAGCGCAAGATCTGATTTTATATGGGCATAGCGCTGTGACACTCTTTCCCCAAGAATCAGAGACCCTTCTGGAAGGAGTCTAAGGCATCAAATGTGCGCAAGCGAATTTGTCGCTGCTGCTTGCCACCAAAGGGGTGCGGCTCGACGGCAGCCTCGCTCTCGTCCTCGCCTTCTGCATGCCCACCCGTGTCTTCTGACTAGCGGCCCTAGACTAGTCAGCGGGCCGTGGGGAATGCGCGTTGTTCACCCGGTGCCAGGCACTTCGTGTCTCCCAGGATGCGTGAAGAGATGGCGAAGACGAAATCTTTCGGTATCACTCTTATATCTTCGATGAGGAGTAACTCGAGCACACTTTTCTCATCGGTAATCGGGGATTATACGCATGAGCAAAAAGCAGATGTCACATCCGGACATGACTGCGCCGCAGTGCTGCAGTTCGGGGGAGGATATTACCTTGATCCTTCGGCATGGATAGGTCCGTGATTGGCTCAGGCAAGTTTAGCGCTTCCCAAGATCCCGTCCGCCTCTTTTCATGCCGGTCGTTCCATCCCCAAAACACTTCACGACAGCACATGTGCTTCCTGCCGCTTGGCAATGCGGTGTTAGAATCAAGCAGACAGGCCCATTTGCGGGTCGGTTAGATAAGCCTGCAGTCCGTATCCTGATCCTTCGGCTTATGTCCGTGAACCGTAACATTGGAAGGACTCAACCTTGGTCATCGTTTCGAAGACATCCCTTGATGAAATCTCGTTTATGCATGATGCCACTTTCAGTCAAATTCTAGACTTCCAGCTATGAAGGCGGCTCGCATCTGAACCGGGCTGACGATAGATCCGTCGAAGAGTCTCGTCGCCACTTTGTCCCACCCCGAAAGAGATTTGTACATGGCTGAGCCAATTGCATGGACAGTCAACTCATCTCTATGAGAAAATGCATTTGAAAGTCGTCAGTCTTCGCTCTGATGGAATCGTGAACGTGTTGACATACGCAATACGTAACGATATCTTGTGCTTTTAAGGGCATGTACTTAACCTCGACGTCAATGTTCTGCTTTGCCTCACAGGTGCATTACTTGTAGGATCCTTCAGCCGATAGATCAAACATGGAAAACAGGGAAAGAAGGCCAGGGTGTGGGGGTACACATCACTTCGCGGTAAGTTCCAGGAGGCCGACGTGCGGACATGATCATCTCTATTATTGTTAAAGACTTAGTACTCTTGCTCCCTGTGCACAAAATATCCATTCTCCAAGTAGAATTTCCCAGCCTTTTAGCATGTCTTCGAACGGCCTCACCGAAACTACCCTTCGTGGTACTGCGATCGGACTAATGGTCGTGACGACTGCCATGGTTTTTGCGCGAGCTTTACTACGAAGCGATCAGAAGAAATCCATCCAATGGGATGAGATCTGGTTGATTGCAGGATATATGCTCTTCATGGCTATTACCGGCGTCTACATGAATAAGACTAGCCTTTTATTTCGACTCTTAGCGGTCGAAGAAGGTCGCCTCGCCCCATACCCGAGTGTCAGCAAAGATGGATTCGATGCGCAGAAGACGTTCTTCTTTACTAGTCCAGGGTTATGGCTCACTTTATGGAGCATCAAGTTCTCCCTACTGGCATTCTACAAGAGGATTATGGTGGGCGTAAAGCTGTACCTGACGCTGTGGTGGGTTGTACTTGGATACTGTGTGCTTGTAAGTTCCCTAGACCCGATGCACCTCCCCATGAATGACCTTAACTTACATCTCAATAGACACTGGTGCTATCCATTATGCTGCACATTACTGCCTGTGGATCTTCACCATCATCGTGGTTCGTAGAGAACGGATGTGGAGCCGACAACGTTCGAAAGAGCCTGATAAGCTTCTGGGAAGGATTTGCTGTGGACCTATCAACAGATCTCATGAGTAGGTGCCCTCAACCCCTTGCAGTGGGACGATATCCTGACGCATCCAACAGTAATGTTACTTCCAATCGGCATCATACGCAACCTTCAGATGCCTCTAGCCCGTAAAATTCAGATCGCCGGCCTATTTGCACTCGGCATCTTTGTCATCATCGCGAGCATTGTTCGAGTGATACAAGTTGGTGCGACGACTGGGGCAAGCGACACAACACCTTCATTGACATGGCTTGCTCTATGGAGTATCATTGAGTCATCTGTCGCTATTATGGTTGGCTGCGGTCCAGGTCTATACCGTAAAGCCAAGGCTGTCTACAGTAACACCCCAGTACATGCATACAACAGTCGCGGCTACATCAAGACTACAGCGAATAGGAGGCCAGAAACGAAAGGGAATGCAGATGACGAGTATGGCTTTCCGATGAAAACAATGAGTATCGATATCGCAGCTCGGGTCAGCAGAGGTGATAGTGAGGAGGAATTAGTTGGTCAAGAGACAAACGGTAAGATCCGAGTCACGAGGTCGGTTGTTGTCAGTCACAAAAGCGAGTGATATCGGAAAGGCTCAATTTTACTAGCTCGTTCGTCGCGCGAAGACTCTTTACAAAGATTTCAATGCTATTGAACGTATCATTGGAAGAGGATCGTGATCATAGGTTTCATGGTTGGTCGCTACGTTGAACGTGACAAAAATACTGGATGTATACCCGGAATATCCCGTGGGGCTCTCTGAGAATGGTTGTTGTAAGAAAAAATTGCCAAGGAGAGGACATCCACATCTCGCGCGATCATCTTGCCCGCCCAACCACTGCGCAACTCGGTTCCAAATCACCAACAAAGACCCGAGCTACGCGTTCTTGCCATGTTCTTCATAATCATCGTCTAGCAGGTGGCCTCTGAGGTCGCTGTAGACCACGACAGGTATGCCTTTAGCCCACCAGATGTCCAAGCCGCCGTACCGCTCGAAGCACTCCTCGTTATAGAGTTGCAACACCCATCGATCCTCCTGGCTCAACTCAACCCATGGCTTTAAATCCTCTGTCAGGGAAAGTCGGTTAATCTCCTGCTCGACCATTTCGATGTCTTCGATATCATTGATAGGCTCGTCGAGAAGATCTCGGTAAAGTTGGATGAGGTCAGGTGTTTCCACGGGCTCGCTCCAGTTGGTAGTAACACAGGGAAACTTTGCACGTTCTCGATGCTTCATCATCTCAGCCTTGGCCATGAACGGAAGTGTTTGGATAGAGACATCGTTTCTGATTTCAGAATCGAGCGCTTGTATCATCCTCGGCAAATCATTGTCAAAGACGGTCGCGATCTTCTGCTGGTTCAGAAAGGGCATCTGATTTTAGTATCGCTCGGATGCCTTAGTGTAGTAAGCAGCCTCGATGTTCAGATAATCCCTAATCTTGACGGAAGCGGACTCATTCGCGTTCGAAGCAAAAGCAATGGTTACGAAGGGATTCTTCACACCAAGACCGCCGTAGGCTTGTGGGAGATAGATGATCGGCTCTATATCTTGCAGATCATGCTCCAGCTCGCACAATACAAAGGGTTTGAGCATTTTTGCAACGCATCTGGTTAAGTCGCTGCCACCAAGAACGAGGGAGTGAATACGCCTGTACGTTTCTTTGATCATCTCGCTGTGTTCCTCATTGAACACGTTGGCAAGGGGACCAAACAGATGGGCTGCATAAGTACCGACAGTATCATTCCATTCACGAACCCACTGGAGTACGGTTGAAGACGACTTGAGCCTCAGTTTTGCGTTGGCTGCATAGAGAGCGACTTTGGAATCGTCAATTCCGACTACGACGCTTGTGTCGTGTGGTGAGGTTGTCTGAAGGTCCATGATTAAGAATCCAACGGACAGCTTGCCACCCGAGGAGAAACTGCGGATTTTCCATCCCATGACTTTGGAAAAATGGAAAATGACTTCCTCAGCGTGGTTGGTTTGTACTTGCGTGCCAACAAAATAGCAGCAGTCGTGTACACGGTACATGTACGATCCTATTCTCTTGAGTATGGCAAGACAGAGGGAAAAGAGTACGGCTTCGCTGAAGAAAATCTCCATGGAGTAGCCAAAGAAAATCCCGTTTTCAGGCGTGATAGTTCTAGCCGCTTCATGAGTAGAAGCCTCAATGCTCAGCTTGGGCTTGGGAGCGCGATTGAAGAGGCTGAGAAAGACTTCCGGCACACCAAGAAATCTTAACACTGTGATGATGGTACAGTGCGGTAATATAGAGACCAACGACTCGAAGCCCACAGTTAAAGCGTTCACTTTGCCATCGAAAGCTTTCCGTATCTCGCATTTCACAGCCAGGATTTTGATCAATCTTGCCTGGATGTCTTTCGACGAAGTCATCTTAGGTACGCCGCCATCATGTTTGGGCAGACGTGACATGAACAAGTGCCGTTGGTAGTCATCACGTCGTAGACTTTCAACGTCGGTGAGCATGTCTGGTGGCGGCGGAGGAGTTATATGGATCACATGGGGCGCTGGCTGTATAGATGGGACGAGACGCATGGTTTGAGGCTTCATTTTCCTCCTTCTGCACCCCTTTTTGGGTTCGGGTGCTGGTGGGGGAGGAGGACAAGGAGGACCCGTGTATCTACAAGGCGGTGGAGGCATAAATGAAGTATTGCCGAAGAAGAAAGCCCTCTTTTCGGCGTCTGCCCTTGTAAGTGGGGCGACTTCGAACGCTTTGGACTTAACAAAGTAGTCCCTGAGACATTCATTCAACTTCGTCGCCCATCTGATTGCACAGCAATGGAGGAACATCATGTCGATAACTTCAACCTCAACGTTGACGTAGTGCTGGCCACGGATTGTCTTGCGTGTATCGACTGGTAAACCCACTTCTGCGTTCTTATAGTTCCATTCGCGATAGCCCCGCGTGTTCAGCATTGCAGTTACCTCCAGTAACGCGTCTGGCGACTGTAGATAATTGATCAGGGTCTCTTTTCGCTCCTGGCTGATATGCTCTGATCGAATCAGGTCCGTGATGATTCATTTGAGAGTTTCTTGATCGACTTCAATGTTTCCGTTGCTAAGATCACTTCCGTATGCTCGCATTCCGTTGCGAATAGCTTGCAAATGGTCTTCTTCGCCTGCGAATAAGCCTGAAAGATATTCATTAATCGAGGAGCTATCCACAGTTGTCTGCTGCGAACATGTCCCTTCAAAATCTTTCAGAGCATCTTCACGGTCGTCATCAATAACGTCGAAATCATCTTCCACGGCCATGTCCGTCTCCGCGTCCAGAGCCTCTCTTATGAGTCGCGAATGTAGGCACGATACTTCCATGCGATTCCGGAACCTGGTCAGCTGATCCAGGAGACCCTTCTCAAGCTTCAGCAGCTTATTCTCGGTAACGATCCCACCATCACGGGCTTGTTCAATACATCGCTTGGTGGTTTCTGACGTCCAGTTACCATTCTGCTTGTCAAACTTTGGATCAAGGTTTTCGATCCCTTCCAAAAGCCCTTCGATTCTTCTGACAACACTGGGTTCTTCAGACTGCTTCGCATCTAGGAGATATCGCTGCTCGAAGGACTGTTTGGTATGTTCCAACTCCTTCAGGCGGAGCTTGATCGCCTGTCTAACGATGGGCGTGATAGCAGACGATGGCATGGTGTCTTGAATAGGTTCCAAATCTGAGTGAGTAGCTGAGAAAGCTGCTGTTTATCACCAGGTTTGCTCACTTTGTGTCGCCGAGTCCGACCCAAGCACGTAAGTCGCTGCATGGTGCGGTAGTCGTCAGGCATCAAGCGTTTGGAGTCGAATGAGACACAGGTTTGATGGTACACAAGATTAGTGTGCATGTTGTGGCAGGTCAACAGAAGTGGCCGTCCAGTGGCCATTTGCGACCCTTCCACGAAGGGTTAGCTCCAGAGCTTCCCCCGCACGTTCACCGGTCGCGAGCATAGCATACCAATCATACTTAGCATGAAGACACACCAAGAAGCGTGGCCTCACTGCTTGATTCCGTGAACACGTAATCTTTGGTTGGTTATGCTCAAATTATCGTGATTGCTGTCACATGATGTCAAGGATGACGGAGACCGGATATCTGTGGGTCTCATCCCACCTTAGTTTAGCTCGGTAGACCTAATCCATACGATGATCCCTCACACATTCTACAATTGCCTACAACACTATTTCGTTTGGATACCACCGTTCGGCCTACTGAGTAGCATATGTGTTGCAAACTCTCGCAACTTTTAGGTACCTAGCAAAGCTTTACTACCACGAAGAAGCAGAGATTTCCGGATATAATCGCCACCCTTATGTTGTGCTCTATTTGTCGAAATGCGCTCCGAATGTTTTGGGAAATAACAGAGGGCGAGATTGCTCACCATCCTTCACTTACCAGCCTCGCCCAGGCTATCGAAGAAGGCTGTTTCCTATGTCGCTATTTAGAGGACCGCTTGGAGTACCACGACATTGACATGAAACAGCCTGATCCCGATCGCTGTACACGGTGGCGCGTGCATGAAAACGATCCGAATTGGAGTGTGAACGATGTTCGCTGCTTTGATGTATGTTCCTGGGACAAGGGCCATTCCGATCATGCAGAAGTCCAGTTGCAATGCTTCTCTCTCAGATCTAATTTCATCCGCGCTGACCCTGCCAGCTCGTCTGAGAAGAATATGGATAGCTCTATTTCGATCTTCTCAAGCTTTACGGGTTCAGACCAGACGGTATCGCAAATCAAAAAATGGCTCGAGATATGCACATCAACGCATGATTCATGCGGCTACCAGCGCAAGAACCTATGGATGCCATCGCGTTTACTCCAACTCTGTGACCTGGACAAAGAACCGAAAGTTCGCTTACGGAGCAGTTCGGAATTAGAGAGCGAACGTTACCTCACTCTCAGTCATTGCTGGGGCGCTAAGGGCAGCCAAAAACTGCAGCTCACCAAGGAAACTGTAGAAGATTTTCACCGAGGAATTGCTGTTTCAACCCTGCAAAAGACATTCCAGGATATGGCCAATGTCACTGCTCGTCTTGGATTCCGATACTTCTGGGTAGACTGTATGTGTATACTGCAGGACGATCCCGAAGACTGGAGACGCGAGTCTAGTTTAATGGGAACAGTGTACGCAAACAGCTGGCTCAATATATCGGCGACATGGGCAACGGATAGCAGCTATGGTTGTTTCACCCACCGCGATCTTTCGCGAGACTATCTTTCCGTGGAAGAGCCCACGAATGGGTCGGAGAGGAAGAAGAATTGGATATTGACGTCGACATACGACTGGTCGGGTCAAGTAGAGCAAGCGCCGGTGAACGAAAGAGGTTGGGTCCTACAAGAGCGCATCCTATCTCCCCGCATTGCGCATTTCACGGGAACTCAGGCCGCTTGGGAATGTCAGAAGCTGCAAGCCACAGAAACATCTCCTGATGGGATTATACTTCAGCAAGCCTTGTACAAACAATACCGGTATAATCTAGCCGTCGACAATTCTATCAAGCACGACGGCCATGAAGATACTGAGTATTATTGGAGTCGTATACTGTACAAGTACACATCGTGTCAGTTGACTTTCAGTACTGATAGGTTGATCGCCTTGTCTGGGATCGCACGAAAAATCAACGAAAGTAGACCATGCGATTATATGGCGGGTCTATGGAGCAAAGACCTGCCTCACTGTCTCCTGTGGACGTATTGGGACCCAAGTCCTCAACCGAAGACCTATATCGCCCCTTCTTGGAGCTGGGCATCTAAATCGGGAGAAGTTATAAGTTCCGGATTTGCAGATCGAGACAAGTCGACTGCGTACATGACGGTACTTGACTATGCCATAACACTCCGCAACCCAGAGGATCCATATGGTCAGATAACAGACGCATTCATTAAAGTGCGAGCGAGATTGGGAATAGCAAGGTGGAATGAAATGGAATTTTCAAAGAAGCAAGGCGAGGATGTTTCCATTAAGCTATTGGTGCCTGATGCACATTGCGGAACGGGGACTTCTACGTCGACACTAAGATTCTTGGAGGGTGCAATCGTTCTTGATCATGATGGGGATTCTGATCTGGAGGAAGCATATTTTGCAGGCGTAAGCACAAACCTTGGGTTTCCAGTGGAGGAAGTGAACAAGAATGAAAGTAGCAAAACCACGGCATCTCAACGCGACAGATATCTCGGTGGGCTACTGCTCCGGCGTCTACCGTGCTCGCGGTTCGAACGTGTAGGACTCCTAAGGTTGGACTTGCATCACAATTATGACCCTTGTGTTGACCTACCGGAACTAGATATCACCATCATCTAGAGGAAGATAGTCAAGTATGATCGGATCGAATCATTCATGAACATGTGCTTCATCAAAAATATATCTTGAACTCCATCCCAGTGCATGAAGAGACGACACACAGAAAGGTGAAACCCAACACTCTATGCCCTAACTCCTGACGATTCATCGCCATTCAAAAACACCAGCAGACCTTCATCAACGCCGTCCATAAGCACCCGCCTCCGCCCTCCTCTCCGTCCTCTTGAAACCCAGACTTCCCGCCTTCCTACTCTTCCTGACAACCTCCTCCCCTCTATCGTCATCATCGTCTCCATCCAACACCTTCCTCCTGCCATACATTTCCATATCCTTGGCATCATCATCATGCTTGCGATCATACTCGCTCTCCCGACTAAACAACGCCATCATATCCTTCATCGTCAAGTTCTTAATCGCCTTGCCACCTTCGATGGCCGCATTAGCGAGTTTACGCTTGGCCTCTTGTAATTCGAGAATGCGCTCTTCGACGGAGTTGTGGATGGAGAGGCGGTAGACTGTTACGTCGACGGTCTGGTTAAGACGGTGGACACGATCAATCGCTTGTTCTTCTACGAACTGTTGCTGTGCGTCAGTACGTCTTTCTAATGCGGGGAAAGGATATGGTAGTGCTTACGGGGTTCCAAAACGGCTCCATGATAACAACGCGACTTGCGGCTGTGAGGTTGAGACCGAGACTACCACATTTCAAACTACAAAGCAGGACGCGTGTACGCTTGTCTTCACGTAACTTCTGGAGACTTGCTTCGCGGAGGTCGTTACGCATGCTGCCGTCGTAGCGGGTGAAGTTGTAACCTGCGCGTTGCAAAAAGGGTTCAATGAGGTCGAGCATGGAGGTGAATTGTGAGAAGACGATGACCTTGTGTTCATCAGTCTCCTTTTCGAGGATCGCGAGTAGTTGCCGGATCTTGGTTGATGGTACTAGGTCCGAGGCGTTGTAAGAGGCTTCTGAGGTCTCGGATTCTGAGGCCGAGGCTTCTGAATCGGACTCAGAGTCTGAGGCGTCTGAACCACTGCCGCTTTCGCTGTCGGCGTCCTCACTGTCTGCCTCTTCATCTTCTTCATCAGAGTCAAGGCTGACGACCTTTTGTGGCTTCTTGAGTAGCTTCTTACGAGCAACAGGCGCTTCGTCTTCGCTGTCGGTGTCATGAACGACAAAAGAATCCAGATTGCTCCTGCTCTCATCCTCATCCGCAGATGTATCTGAGTCGACAGTAGCAAGCGTATCGCCGCCTCCTTCAGCATTCTCGTCGTCGGTGCCACCAGCCTTGCCCAAATCTTCAGCATGTTGCTGGTCCTCAGGAACGAGCCATTCACCCTCCTCTTCTTCGTCGTCACTATCGACAACGACGCGGCGATTGCGAGAATGCTTTGAGGCGGCTGGCTTTTGCTCCTCTTCTTCGTCATCAGACTCTATGACTGGTTTTGCTTGTCGGTGCTTTTTGGACTTGCCATTCTTGTGCTTATGTTTGCGGTCTTTCTTCGACTTGTGCCTAGTATGCATTAGTATATGGCATTATCGAGACTCTACTGGATGCTGGCTTACTTCTTAGACTTCTTAGTAGACCCTAGAAGATCTTCCTCGCACTCCGTACAACGCGCTCCACCGGCAGCTGTGTTATCACTATTGAGGTGGTTCTGGCATATGTCACAGCGCTTTGCCGCAACGCTAAGTCCACCCAGAAGATCTGCTAGGTCGTCGGCATCGTCTTTGGCTGCAGCCTTCCTAGGAGTCTGGAGGCCAGCTACAGCGTTCGAATTCGAACCGGTAGTCAAAGCGTCCTTGTCACCCTTGACATTGCTTTTTGTGAGGTTCGGATGATTACAAGCCTGGCGCAGGCGAAGGAGCAACACCAACGCTCCAATATAATCCTGCTTCTCACCACCCATCATCTCGTCAAGACGAGCTTGTGTGCGATCTCGTAACCGGTCGTAGAAGATGCGCTCTTTGGTGGTGAACTCTCCTATGATGGTCTCGACGTTTCGCGCAACAATGTGGAAAGCCGGCCGCTCCTCACCTTCCTTAGCTTTGCCACCAAAGTTCAATGCACCGTCTTTGCGCAGTACGTCCTTAGTGCGACGCTTCATAAAAGCACGCAGGAATACCTGCAGTCGCTTCATAGCAAGGTTGCCTCGACCGTTCTTCATTGGTTGCGCTATAGAGTCCTTCCAAGCCGAAAGCTCACAGTACGGTTGTATACGAAGGAACTTGATCAAACTCTGTAGCTCGTCGATGTTGTTCTGCATTGGTGTACCAGTAAGGCACCATCGGTAATGCGAGCGCAGCTCGTAACAAGCCTTGGCCATTTTCGTGGTGCGGTTCTTGATGGTATGCGCCTCGTCCAGCATGATGCGATACCATGACACGGCGAAACAGCCCTTCTTGAGACCATCGGGGCCGTCACCACATTTCGCAAAGTCGGTCGCCAAGCTGTTGAAGGTGGTGATGACAACATCATATTGCTTTAGCTTCTCGGCTGATTCTGTGCGGTTGGGGCCATGGTGTACGAGGACTTTGAGAGCGTGCGACTTGGTGACTTTGTCCTTGATCTCAGCTTCCCATTGCTTGATCAGTGCTAGTGGAGCAATGACGAGAGTGCCCTTGCCGGTGGAATCGGAGATCTTGTTCTTCTTGTTCTCTGGCTCTACGCCCTTTTCCGGTCGAGGGTTTGAGAGAATGAGCGCAAGGGACTGTACAGTCTTTCCGAGACCCATGTCATCTGCTAATATACCGCCCTTTGGCAACTTCGCCTTCTTGTTGTGATTGCCAGTCTCCTTCTCGATCATCCAAGCCACACCGTCGACCTGGTGAGGCAAGAGCTTCACTTTGAGACCTTCCACTGTGCCATCATCTTCTTCTTCGTCTTCTTCCGGTTCAGCCTCGGCTTTAGCTTCCTCGTCCTTAACGGCAAGCGCTTGTAACCGGTCAGCTAGAGAGTTGCCAACGTCTTCCTCTTGTTGCTTCTTCTTCTTACGAAGACGCGTCCTGGGAATCTTCTCGTTTTCCTCATCAAATGCGCCCTCAAGTAGCGCCTTGATGTTCTCGCTAGTCGCAGCAGGGTCGACGTAGGCGTGTGGATCTGGCTCGCCAAATCGACTACCCTCTCTTCGGATGGCCTCATCTGGGTCAAAGTTGTCTTCATCGTCCAATATCACTGTCTGACGCGCTTGTTGTAGCGGGTTGTGTGTTCCTTTGTTCAACGGCGCGAAGTTATCGGCGTGGCCCATAGAGGAATAGATGGGTCGCGGAGGTGGAAGACTAGTCTTGGCTGCGGGGTTGTATGGTCGGGCGATAGGTACAGGGCCGCCTTGGGACGGTCTAGGTTGGAACTGGGAGGCGGGAATTTCGAAGATGTCTGAACCAGTCGATGAGGTAGACGCCGTGCTGTAACGTGAACTTGACGAAATAGACGGGACCTTGAAGGGCCGCTGCAGAGGATCGGTGAAACCGCTAGCAGCTGAATGCTGCGACGGCCTAGAAGCTGCAGAGTATTGCGAAGGCAGCTTGGTCGTCTGGCTATGCTCCGGCCGCATCTGTCCTGGCTTGGGCTTGTTGAAGAGGTGAGCAAACTCTTTGCTGCGGTCCTTCTTCAGAGGGTTCCTCAACGGGCTAGTCTCTCCAAACTGCGGTGCTGTATTTCTGAGGTCTTGTAGAGGCTTTGGTGGGGGCGCCGTTCCATCTCGTGGTGGGGGAGCCACGGGAGGCTCTCTCTCACGCACCATCTTGAGTCTGTGTTGGAGGTCGGCCTTCTGTTTCGTGTGGCTCGCAGGGCTCTCAATGTCGTCGAAGAGGTTGCTTGAATCGCCGAGTAGGGAAGTCGACTGTTCGTGAGGGTAGTCGCTATCGTCGGATGTGTACGTGGGCTTGGTGGCCGCTGGTGTCTTGAAGGCAGGCTTTTGAGCGGAGGAGAAGGTATCAATCGGTCGAAAAGGCGCACGGTATTTTCGCTGGGTGCTTTGGCTCATCGACTCATCCAGACTGGTCGCTTTGTTGGTGTTCCTGCAGACCGACTGTTGTCGCGACGAGTGTGCCCCTCGTGTTGTTTGCCAAATTAGGCGCTCCACTCGGCGCACGTTGCCACGACGAAGGGTAAAAGTGGGGTCCTCAACACGTGGGACACGCGTAAACAACGACGCGCTATCACAGGATCTACACTTTCAGCTTCAGGGTCTACCCACACCATGGGTGCCTAGTAGACACGTCATCAGCCCTATCTTGAATACGATGGCATCAAAGCAGAGTGGCCGTCTTAGATTCGCTTCGCCAAAGACAACGTAAGACGGCGTCCTCAGGCCAGACTGGCATTCTTCTACAGCTGGCATCACAGTAGATCAATCGCCGGTTCGCCTATGCCTATCAGAAAGAAGTTCAGATAATCTCGTCTTTACTCCAATCGAAAACGCACTCAACAGCTAAGAATACAACCATAGTACACTGGAGGTTTGCTATACCTAGATTTTCGCCCATCACATCTTCGCCCAAACATCCTGCCGTTTCTGCCGTCTCTTCGCTTCACGTGCAGCCAATATGATGAGTCCTCCAGCCGCTGATACACTCCCCGAAAATGCCTGTGCTCCAGCATACGATCCCCCACTCGATGTAATGATAGCACCACATACCGGAGAACCCAGTAACGCGCCAATTCCAATAGCCGCGAACACGATGCCAAACGAGGCTCCCATCTTTGACGTATCCGAGATAATGATGGGGACGATCGTTAGGGAGAGCGACTGGACTCCTCCGACAGAGAGACTGTAGAAAGTTGTCCACGCGTATAGCCCGGGAGTCGAGTGTACCGGTATCCAGGTATACATGCATAGCGCAGAGCAGAAAATGAATGTTATGTAGACATTCATGGTACCGCAGTATCGGGCAATCAAACTGGGTAGCAGCCGACCTGCAAATCCAATGCCATTCAAAACCAGGGTAAGGTTGAGAGAGTCGGTGTATGACATTCCTCGCTTCTCTCGCGCATACGAACTGAGGAAGAAGAATGGGAAGAAGACGCCCAAGAAGGCCTGCAGTCCTGTCAGTGGTGTGAGTGGGAAGGCATAATGTCGACAACCTACCAAAAAGGATCCTACGAGGAGTAAGTTGAATGCAGTTTCCCTAAAGACCGACACATCCAACAGCGGACCCAACTTCCGCGCTGCTCTCTTCGGCTTCCCACACACCAGCGCAACCGCAAAAGTACCCAACTGTATAAACCCGATCGCTCTCAATGTCCATCCAAAGCCAATACTCGGCAACAGCGTTCTCACCATACTAGGGTAAATGAGTCCCCCAGTCACACTCCCACACGCTGCAATGCCCGTAACAAGCGGCAGCCTTCTCCTGAAATACGTCGTAACAAGCGTTGACATGGGCGTAAGCAAACACCCATTCCCAAGACCCGTGCAGACGCCCTGAGCGAGGAGAACTTGCCAGTAAGTCTCGCTCAGAGAAGTCATGAAAGTACCTAGTACAACCAGAAACGCACCAGTGGCTGTGACATAGCGGTAGTGGCCTGCGTCTGTGAGACGCCCGCTGACAATACCGGTGAAGAAGAGAAGGAAGACGGCTATGGAGCCTACCCAGGCGACGTCGGACCGTGTTTTGTGGAGTGTGGAGACGTAGTAGGTTTGGAAGACACCGTAGGATATTATCATGCCCCTATCTTGGTCGTCAGTAGAGTTCGGGTAGTTGGATTTGGGGAGCTTGTTACGCACCATGTGTTCATGATGGCGAGGAAGAAAGCCACGACTGTCAGGAGTCATAGATCAGCATCTTAGCGAACCGACTGTTGCCGACCTTGCAACTTACCTGCCAGCCAGGCTACTAAGCCTCCTTCGGGTGCTGCTTGAGCAACTTCTCCCTCATGGAGTTGGTCCTTGACACTCACCCTCGAAGCCGCCAAAGCCGCCGATCCTGCATCCTCATGTACTGCTTGGTCATGATCTGGTGTTGTCGAGTATACCTTGCTCTCATCGTCTCCCACAGCTTTGCTCCCAAACATGGTGTGCTTATCTCTGACTTAATTCGCCAGAGAAGGAGTGTTGATCTGATGAAAGTTCTGTAAGGAGATGCTTCTCAGTCGTGCCAGGGGTTGGAACTATATATGATGAATGGCTCACACCATTGATGAGATGAGATTTCCTCACTTGTCCGAGAAGTTCGTACGAATTGATAATCAGGTACTAAAGCCACGCTTTGCTCGATGACATGCATTTTCTTAGGTTCAGATGGAGTTCGCACTATGCTCAACATGGTACCATATGCCGATCCACAAGTCTTTTCACGTACACAAAAGCTCACAGTCTCTTGCTCGTCGGCACATCTCGTACAATCGTGTTCACAGACTGATGGGCAGACCTTCCACTCCTTTGGAGGTTTTACTGCATGTACTACTGGTCATCCTGTGCAAAATTGCCACCACAGTTCTTGAAGGTTCAAAAAGTGAGATCGCGCAAATAATCGCTCTACTCTTACACTGGATGGTGCTTTATTGGTCAAGAAAACATATGCATTCTCAAGCTTCATCGTTGAGTGAGCCCCCTTTTTGACACACGCATCACACATACTGCTAGACATGCTCATGGAAAAGATTCATCATTGTGTCTGAAGGAAGCTGCACACCTTGAGCAACCTCTATAAACATGGATATCAGGCACCCCAGATTTCAATATACAACTGAAAATCTGATTTTACATGCGTGGTATTCCTATATATACCCAACTCAATTGATCTCCACGGCCTTACCAGGGACCAGCCAACGAACCTTCTCCAGGACGCCTTCCTCTTTGAATTCCTGCGCGAGCTCATTTCCACCTTGTTTGAAATGATCCCACGACTCGTAGTGCATAGGAACAAGCACATCTGCGTTGAGATCCTTCAGGAGACGAGCAGCCTGTCGGCCATCCATGGTGATCTGTAAACAATCGCCTGGCTGACCCGGCTTTCCCTCATCGGTGAACTCGTAGAAGGTTGCTTTACCACAATTCATGAGGGCGACGGTGATGTGGTATTCTTCTGCGATCTTCGCCAGCTTCTCGATGTATACGGTGTCACCAGAGAAGTAGATGGCGTTCGGGCGACCGTCAGCTGCCACTCCAAAGTCCTCAGTGTGTACAACGAATCCGACGCATTCGTGTCCAGGCCAGTGCTTGCAGGGCGTGGCAGTGATGTGAAATATTTTTCCTGCGATGCGAACATCTCTCTCTTGCCAGTCGCTGAAACCAAGAACACTGGGTCGGGGGGCGAGGTTCTTTGCGCCATCGTTGGTTGTTACTACGTGACGGCCGTCGAGGAGTCGACGTCCGAACTCATCGAGGTTATCGGGGTGGTTCTCGTGACTCAGGAAAACAGCGTCGATGTGCGGTAGTTCTTCCAGCTTCAGAGCGGGGTCATCGTGAACTTTGAGGGCTGCGACGTCGTTCCACTCAGTACCGGCAGGGGAGAAGAAGGGGTCGGTAAGGAAGATGATGCCATCAATATCGAGGATGGCAGTAGCCGTTCCTATGTGTGTGATGCTGACTTTGTTCTTGAAGGTGGAGGCTGACATGGTTCAGTGTCGATATCTTGATGCTGTTTGGAGAGGAATTCGCTGATGATAGACAATGTGCGGAACACAGAGTATCTGGCTTGCGTGTTGCAATGCACTGCAGTGCAACCACTGGCTTTATGCCAAACTTCATCACTGAGAAAGTCCATAGTGAATTTTAGTCTTAGGCAAGTCGAACGCTGATGAATAATGTACACTTGCTTTATCATCAGCAAAGAATTCTTGCGCGATTGTGATGAGTCTTGCTAAAGTGAATAGGAAATGGGATCGATGTCTGGGCGTTGTAAGGCTACAGCTGCAGGCGCTAACATCAATCCAGTGTAACGTCGGAACGGCTCTGGCATCCGCATAGCTAAGCCGGCGCTAGGCTCAAAGAGGCAGCATTACTTCCTGCAATGCGCCTGCGTCACTGAGCTCACTGCCCTACATCCCAACGTTCAAGCGACACCTTCTCAGCTAATCTCATCATAAATCAGCTCTTTTGGTTGTGCCCCACCGTGTACTATTCGCTTCAGGAGGTAAAACCCGAACCCGATCTCTACTTTCCGATTGCGGTAGTATATCGCGGTCGCTTATTTGCTCACCTGCGCGTACCTCTGCCATGAAAGTCAGAAAAAAGAATCTCTGTGACACTTGCCGCAAACGCAAACTCCAGGTATGTTCATATCTCTCTTCGTTTTCGGAGCAAGTAGGCTAATTCTATTGGCCCTGGAACAGTGCGACGGAAAACGCCCGTCATGTACTCAATGTGTTTTCAGTAATCGAACATGCGAAGGATACCCGGACGCCCTATTCGTACCCTTCGTTGCCACCAAAGCGGCAGTAAAGCCAAGAGCTGCGCGTCCAAAATCGGTATCGCGGACAGGACAGTCGGTCTCAACGTATGCGCGATGTCCCTCCGCTGCTAAATCGGGCTCGGCTCAGGATAAAGATTCACCTATACTTTCCCGAAACGACATCAATTTATCCGGTGGCTCGCCTTCTCCAAATCGATCTTATGCCCAGGGTCTTGCTACGATACAAGACAAAGTCGCGTTAATCTTGCGCAACTTCATTCCTTTACACGAATTGGAGTTCAACTCGGCCGACGCGACTGAGCAATGCTCGCGGTTCTGCGGCTCCTGGGCGAAAGCCCTACCCGAGCTGACCGCTGATATGACTGGCCCTTTTGCTCAGTGTTTAGACTCAGCCGTCAGTGCTTTGGCACTATCCATCACCGCTTATCGGAATCGCCAGGATCTCCTGGATGCTATAGTCGCGCAATATGAGGAGAGTCTTCACCTCCTAGGGCAGAGTCTTGCGGCAGCAGGAAACACCTGCAACAGTAAAATTGTGGCAGCAGTCATGTGCTTGGCGCTCACAGAGGTATTGTCACCCACTCAAGAGTCCAGTTGGCTAGTACACGTTGAAGGTGTAAGCAACATGGTACATCTTATGCCACCCGGCTCCTTCGCATCTGGTATCGAGCACATTATGCTTATGGGCTTCAGGCCACTTTTGGTGAGTATGCAGCTATGTTGACAGGTTCTTCGGTCTAATTGTTCTGTGTGCCAGATACTAAGAGCATTCATACATCGCAAGCCCACCTTTTTCGCGGATGAACCATGGCTCACACTACCCTTCCAATACCATCAACCTGCTCCATTGCAGAGTTTACTAGGTGCCGCTGCACACATCCCTGGTGTTCTGGAGAAAGTAGATGTTATTCTACCTCGTTCCTGCGATCGCGCGGCAGCGACTGCTGATCAACTCATCACAGAGCTATTGGGGAGCATATTACGCCTCAAGACGTGGCATAACTCGTTCTTGGCAAGTACTCCGGAGGTACTATACTGTTCTCGAAACGTAGAACACGATTTTGGTGGTACTTTCGAATCGCTATGGTACCCGAGTCTCGGTATCGCCAACATGTTTGTCTATTTTTGGGCTTTCCAGCTTCTTTGTCTTAACGAAATTCGAGACTTGTTGGACCGGTTCCCACATTTGAAGCATACAGTGCATGATGGCGCAGCATACAGCGCAGAGGCTTTTCGAGAAGAGTGCTTTGAACTTAGCACCTGCATATATAAGAGTATGGAATATTTGTTACGGACAGATTTTATGTTGTATGGAATCTCGTCAGCAGGGTTTCCGTTGAGCATAGCATACAAGACGCTCCAGTCGGACGCTGAAGGTCAAGCAATTCTGGAATCACTCGACCACTCGATCATCACTCGGTGCAAAATCAGGGGTGTAGGAGATTGTGCAGACGGCCTTTGCGTATGACGCATTAAGACCCTCGGTTGCACGGATAACCAGCGCTATGCCAAAGAAAAACAAAGCATGTTGCGCATTCGATTTGCCATTGGCAAGAAGAACAAAAAACAATACAACTTTGATCTTGTCGCAGATGTCATTCGCTGGAAGCAGAATTAAGAGTACATTACAAGCATCTACCATCATGGCAATCATAGTCTACATCTCAAGACGAGCACCGGATCAGTTGTTACACTGCGCACCGTCCGTCATGTTAATCTCGGTATATACCAGATGATCTTGGTTGATGAAGCCAACAGCAGTACCCTTGTTGCAATCAGGAGCTTCTTGACCGTAGCACCGGAACGTGGTTGCAGCACTCTGTGTTCCACCGATTGGTTTAGTGTCCAGCTCATAGATCTCGGTGCGTGTGTGCACGAAGCCCATAGGGGTGAGCGGTAGACCAGGTACACCGTCGATGTGGTGCGTGATGCGAATAAGGCTGCCGAGTTGAGAGTCGGTTGCACCAGACAGCTTGTCAGTGAAATCAGCGTATTGTTGGTTGCCGATACGAAGTGAGCCCATGGTATATGCAGCCTTTACGGGAACACCGTTGGCCTTGAAGTCTGTGTAGGCGATACTTGCGAGTCCGCCTCCCAGGCTGTGTCCGACAATGATGGTTGAGTAACTTGGCTTCTCGGCACGGAGTTCAGCAAGCGCCTTTGTCAGGTCTTCTTGAACGGAGCGCCACCCGTTAAGAACACCGCCGTGGACTTGGCAGTCGGTGCAGCCTGGTGCTGTATCAAAGGGCATGAAGAAGAAGTTGAAGTCCGTTCCGAAATCTTGGATGGAGCTTGTGCCAGGGAAAGAGACGATGAACTCTTTGGCGGCATCATCTTGGAATACAGCGACTTGGGTGTCGGATAGAATATTGTTCACGGTCCGAACGAGTTTTGACCCGAAAGGCGGGCTTTTGCATGTTCCGAGCCCGTACACAAAGGTTGCAAGTGATGCTACTGCATATCTGGTGTATCGTTGCAGAACTGGGTAAAGCTCGGGTTGGACTGCTAAGGTAAGTGATTGAAAATTGAGAACAAGATTGATGTGGCATACTGAGTTCCCTGGGTCTTGCTTGTCTGTCAACGAGCTGACGAAGGTCAGCCGGAGCTGCTTGAACGATAGGCGCAGCAAGCGCAGCAGCAACAGCGAAGGTGGTGAGCTTCATGACAATGTGATGATCTGCTTCTTAACAACAACTCGCCCACGAGAACGCTATCGTGTTATATACACATTCCTCAACACGGAGTCAATCGCACGACTCAGCGCAAGAGTTGAGCCGAGGGACAAAAGCACGCTCTAAACACCCACCCTTTACAGCCCACGCATCGCGTGCCATGTAGATCGCCCCTATGCGAAGCTACCAGCTGTCAGGTACAGAGCGTTGCTTGGATGACAGGTCTCGCGCCATCCAATGTTTTTGCTCTAAAAAGGGTCTGATGCAGCCCGGTGGCGCAGAGTGGTCGTTGTGACAGGTTGGAAGCGACTGCTTTGAGGATTCAGGGCGTGTAGCGCACAGCCGATCGGCCTGTTCGCACTTCCTTTTGCCGCTGCGCCTCCGTATTAGTGTATCGAAAACCACAATATAAACTTCTTAGCCTCGGGTTTGCGCTCTCTAGCAAATGTAGGACGCGCGGGAATGGCCGGCAGCACATGGCCGGAGTGAGATATGGGGGATCGCTTCAGGCTCTGTGAAGATCGACCCCGCACTTATTCTCATCGCGGTTGACAAGCCGGGTCGACTTGCCGTTTGGTGGCTCTGCACGCTACAACGCTGCTACTACAGTGTCGCGTGGTTGTACATACATAGTCGGAGTACTACCCGCATCTGTCCGGCGATTCGATGAAGGCTCCTGGCGTCGCGACGGAGAATTATTGGGTGCAACTAAAGGAGTGAAGCTAGAAGATTCAAGGGAACATGCCCGCTCAAAATATTAGACCAGATGTTGAAGAAGTTGGGTACTCGGATATTCGCAAGGAACAAAGTTTGATCCCGGCGTTACACGAGGCAGAACTACAGGTACACCGCCATCGGATATTTTCTATTGCTAGTACATCCTACCACAACGCGGTTCTAGAAGATGTATCGATGCCTCTGCTCTTCAGATTCGACTACCTTTCCGCGTTGCTTGACACTACGACGTTGAGAACGACAAATGCTGCGGGCTCAAGCCTAGGAGCTGTCTCCGCGATCTGAGGACTGCCTCTTGCGATCACCAGACAGGTTTTCATCTTCACCTTGCATGAGGCGTTACATAACAATAAACAAAATCAAGAACATATCCCAGCATAGTCATAGTCCCATTCTATATTCATATCCCTGTATCGTTGACTTCACGCACGAAGTATCTGTCGAATTCGGTCAGCAACTGATCCAGTCAAAGTCTATTATGAGTAAACATCGAACAGAGCCATGAACTTGCACATCAAGCTGCGCTTTGGTTGAACGGGCACAGAATGTTTTAGCAAGTCTCGTAGTCACAAAGTACACAGTTCAGGTCCTGGGAAACAAGCCAAGCACTATCCTTTGAGGGACACATGTAGTACAAGATGGGACGTCTTGGACGGCCGTGCCCTACATTGTTACGAGAACATTTTGACGAAACTGTGATGCCGTCTGTTCAATCCTGATCTGGCCAGTCATTTCCGCGAAACTATATGCTACAAATACGACCAGTACTCTAGGAACAGGAAGATAAAGAATGTACACCAAACGAACAACATCATAGAAAAGTCCCGATCTACCTGAGTCCAAAAGAACAACATAGACACCACAGGGAGTCTGCATTAACATTACAGTCTTATCATCATAATTCCCCCGCTCTTCCCCTAATGTCTCCTAGCTTAATATTGTCATCCATTTCGAATATACGTCGATTGTCCGCAGCCATTACTCTAATAGGTTTTGTACCCAGTTCCTCCTCGTCAACATCTTCAGGTGTGACAACACCTGTATCCATTCCACTAGGGCTGGCCTTCGCGCTACCGGCCACCTTCTTTGGCTTGAGCCCATATGCCGTGTTAAGCTCCTGGCGCATCTTATACTCCTTCTCAAACCATGTCAGGCAGAAGCCCAGGCCAGCGAGAATAGCGAAAACGATCCACACGCACTTGAGACTCTTGGTGAAGGCGTTCACAACCTCGGCCTTGATGATTGGGAATGTAGCTTGTGTGGCGATGAAAGAAGCGGTTGCGCGTTGGTAAGCTTGCCCGTTGGCAAGTTTAGCGCGGGCAGACTCAGAGGAGATGGTTGGAAGAAGGGAAGCGAAGCGGACGTTAAAGACGGCACCAGGAATCGCGACACCAAAGAGTGAGCCCGTGCCACGAAGGAAAGCCCAGGAGCCTGCGCTCGCACCAGTCGTGGACTCAGGAAGCTTGACCTGAACAGCAGGAAGCATAGTGCTGATGACTATGCCGAGACCCGCTGCTGTCACGAGTTGTAGGGTAAGCCAAACGCCGATCGAGGTGTTGGCTTCGAGAAGTATGCAGAGACCTAAGCCGAGGGTTGTCAGGGAAAATCCGACAATGTGCATGGGTTTGTATCTGCCCCAGAAGCTCAGTAAGGGGCCACCGACTGCTGCTAGAACGACGACGACGAGGGTTGTGGGCATGACTTCTACACCCGATTGTGTAGGCGAGGAGCCCTTGACGGCTTGAAAAAAAGGTGGGAGGTAGAATTGGAAGCCGTAGGTTAGGAAGCCGTGCATGGTGGTGAGTGCAAAGGCGATGTTAGTGGTGCGGTTCGAGAAGATATGGGGTGGCATAATGGGGTAGTTGCAGTAGGAGCAGCGTTCCCAGAAGCCAAATCCTACCAACCCAAGGACACCAAATACCATTGGAACGACCACGGAGGAGTGAGACCAAGGTTTTGGTGCGCCACCTGTGCTGAGTGCGACGAGTACCATGAGGACGGAGCCAGTGAGCATGCCGCTTCCCACGTAGTCGACCTTCTTCAATTCCTCCTTGATGGATACTTCGGCAGTGTCAATACCACCACCGACATTCAACCATAGCCATATGACTACCAAAGAGATGGCGCAAACCGGTATGTTTATGAGGAAACACCATCTCCAGCCGTGCTCTGCGAAAACACCTCCAAGGAGTGGACCAAGAGTGGTGCCAATAGCGAAAGCAACGTGTTTGATAGCCAAGTACGGGCCTCTCTTTCTCAGGGGAACAATGTCACAAAGAATTATCTCAGCGAATAGATCGATGCCGCCCGTTCCTAGACCTTGAACGATTCGTCCAGCGATCAGTACAGCGCCATTCTGCGCACCACCACAGATTGCAGAACCGATAGCAAAGACGGCTACAGCAGCCATCATAGGCATTTTTCTTCCCCACATATCTCCAAACTGGGAGTACAGGGGTTGGAAAATGGTGCTTGCGAGCAGGAAGGCAGTTGCAACCCAGGAGAATTTGGTGCCGAGATCCAATGCTTCAGAGATGGTCGGAAGCGCGGTATTTGTCACGCTTCCTTCGAGCGCAGAGAGGAGAAGCGGAAGGCAAATTGCGATGAAAGAGCGCCAAAAGCCCTCGGATCGTTTCCACTTGGCGGAAGGGGTCTGAGAGGGGAGGGAAGGAGGTAGTGTAGGGCGACTGAGGCGCCGCGAAAGGCTAATCCTATCGCAACCATTGTTCAAGGTTTGGTGTATTTTGGAAAGCGGCTCGGATCCCAGTTCTTCTTCGACAATGGAAAAGTCGACTTTGCGCTCCGCCGTTGTGGTAGTTATGGTTGTTGTGGAAGATGAAGAAGACATTATTAAAGATTACTTGAAGTTACCGCAATATTCTTGCGACGAACTGAAGAATGAGGATAGGGAAGAGAGCAGGCAACACCTTTTTTTCACAGCTGCTGCTTAGCAGAAATTCTTCCAGACTCAGGGTGTGGTGCCGCGTCCACGTTGCTTCCAGCCCAACACACAGTTTGCTCTCAAGACCTCGTTGCGCTGATCCAGTTTTAAAGACATCTTTGACATTACTTAGCTCAACATATCCACTCTATCCATACAACAAACAGAGAATTGTTAAGAGCTTATTGCATTACGAGTGTGTCGTCGTGTTTCCGCAGGATACAGGTACCGTACCACGGTAGAGAAGATTCTTTGCGTCCAATTCAAACATGGATAGCGAATAGAATCGCACACAACACAAAGACTCTGACAGACCTGGTTGTAAGGACACGTAATTGAAAGTATCTCTTCCCATTGACGAAAGTTTCCAGTCATTGTTGTGGATCATGCCGGACATGTGTAGCTAGACGGTAGTGGACTCGTTCCTCTTATCATCCTTCGATTGTTTAATTAAATCACGGAAGTCACACTCAGCTCTCGTCCTGCGCGTACTCCGAGTATTCTCTCGTGCCGTTACGGTGCCAGAGGCAATGATGACATACTGGAGATATTATCGGCAGTTCAAGATCCTCTCGTCGTACTCCAAGACCATGGCCTTTGCTGTTGCCAATATTTCGCTGAAGAATCTGACGTACGTATTACCCTGTCAGGTTTGGTAGACAACACTGATCTCATCGCGTGGTAGACAGTGCGCCTTATCGAAAACAAAGTAATGCTGGGTTGCGACGATGTGCCGTATCGTATGCAGGTACTTTCGTTCGCCATACCGCATTGAATATAGTGAGGGCCCTGAACCAGTGTACGAAACCAAGAGAGAAGCGCCAGTCAGACGGGACAGATCGGCGGTACCAGACTTCCAGCAGGGTTTCCACTTAGTCGCTCATTCCCAACCACCACAGTTCCTGAGCGAGACGCCTGCACTGCGCAGCACAGAGCGATTGCTGCAAGCTAGACGGTTCAAGCATCGATCCAAATCTTCCTCACCTCGCGCCCGGATCCACAAGTTCAAATCCCGGTAACTGCATCCTGACCAACCTCGGACAACTCCTCAGCAACAAACTCGCAATCCGCGTGCTATCACTCCCATCTCTCACCTCTTCATACCACCTCTCCCAATCTCCTTTGTTTACATAGGTTTCAACGTTCCACCTGATGATCCCCTCCAGCTCCCCTTCCTTCAACTCCTCCTGTCTCACGTGCTTAGGCCACGGATCCAGATTCCCACCATAAGCGTGATGTACAGCGAAGGAACGGACGGCTTCGCGGTGGGGAGCTGAGGTCCAGAATAAGAGGGCCAGGGGACGTAAATACTTGA